ACAGCTTACATGCATTCCCAACTGTTCAAGATACAAAGGGTTTGTTACACAATATGTTACATTCAATTTCTAAAATCTGTGATAAATCCAAAGAAAACTACAGTGCATATAACTACAACAGATACAAAAAATGTTTTCATCTTCAAGTTTGCACTTTTGGTCACTTATTCTGATAATTTATAAATTTCACCTAACTTGACTTAATGCATGTGGACGATCTACATACCTAGTTTTTACTTTTTGTAACATACATCACAAGCACAGGATGTCTAAGTCAAGAACCATGAGATTACAGATGATCAGGTAATGTTCCTCTTAATCACAGATGCAGAGGTTTCAAGTATAGAGTGAAAATTTAATTAGGTTTAAATATAAAATAACAGATACAGACTAACTAGGAGAGAAGAGGCCTTTAAGAGCATGGAATTCATATATGCAATAACTTCCACTTTTAAGGGTCTTTCTTATATTACACTTACAAAAATTGATGACTGAAGCATTGCTCCACATCTCACCAAGTGAATCAATCGGCTTAATATTAACATCTCGCCATGAATTCTACATTTGGTAATGAAAGGTTTTCTTATATTTAACTACCGTATGAACTTTCTGAAGAAATGTTTTAGTAATAATGGTTCAATTTCATCCATAGTTATAAAAACCACCTCAAACAGCAACAAGCAAAGCCAATTGTACAAAATATTATAGTTGGTTCCTTTACTTCCTATTACAAAAGATGTGAGGACTTGGACTTTTTTCAAAGTTGGCAAAAACATGATTGTATTTTATCGTAAAACTTTACCTAAATCTATAAGGTCTCTTTGCTGGAGATGTTGCCTGGGTGATGGTACAACTTTGTTCAGTGGGACGACTGTACCATCACCCATCAAAAATTGCAGAAAATTAAGCTCCAGCACTAAATACAGATGATCAGACTTTGCTAGAGGTGAAGTGGTAATCGTAAACCCACAAAATACAACAAGTGACACTTTCCATCTGAAACTACTGTACATCATTGAACTGTATGGTATTTATTTATTTGTATTCATACCACATTGTGAACATATTCTCTCTCTCTTTTTTTTATACCCACTACATTACTTCCCCACAACAGGTGGCCATGTTTTATGCCCAATAAAGATTGTATTGTTCTAGTAATGTGTAGTACTTCTCTAGTTATCATTATTAGACCTAAAGGCAGGTTGAATCTAGAAAAATTGTCATTTTAATCATCTTGACAAATTCACACTTGACACACACACACGCATACATACACACTTCAACCTTGACCACCGACGGGTCAAGACGCACCTGGCGCTGCTCTAGCAGCAGCCATGTCAACTATTATGTTGGCCCATACCAACTCCCTCCCCTGAACCCTCCTACCCACCGGAATATCAACAAGTTTTTGCCAGAAGTTACTATTTCATTTGGGAAAGGAATGGAACCAGTGTTGAATAGTGGTGAACAGTGTTTAAGTCAACTCGGCAGTCACAGTTGCGTCTTACCCAAGCTAACCTTCACACAGTGAGGTCCCAGGTACCCAGTGATAATTCCCGTGAGCCTCCACGATGGGGAGGCCTGGGACCACGTGGTGTCCCCATGATGCTACGACACCACGTAGTGAATGAGTTGCTACAGCATCATGTGAGGTTCCTCACAACACCATCTGTGAGGGAATTACTACACTACGTGATGCCCCTCATAACACCATCCGTGAGGGAATTACTATGCCATGCGATGCTCCTCATAACACCATCTGTGAGGGAATTATTACACATCAGGCCCCTCATACACCATCTGTGAGGGATTTACTACACCACATAAGGCCCCTCATAACACCATCTGTGAGGGAATTACTACATCATCAGACCCCTCATACACCATCTGTGAGGGAATTACTACATCATCAGGCCCCTCATAACACCATCTGTGAGGGAATTACTACACCACGTCAAGCCCCTCATAACTCCACCTGTGAGGGAACTACTACTCCACGTGATGCCCCTCATTACGCCATCTGTGAGGGAGTTACTACACTACGTGTCTGCTGTTCAACAACTCAGCTCACATGATCTATGTGACCTCCGCTGTAAACATTAATCGGTATGTTCACTGTATGTTCCTTCACCTTTCTCTAATGAAGGCTTTTGTTAAACCACCAATGTATGTAATAAGTCATTTATGTCCAATGTATATTTTCAGCCTTCGGGCTGCAGAACTTTTTCAATAAACCGTTTATTATTATTATTATTTTTATTACAACACCACTGTAAATTTCTACACAACATGGGTTAATTATTAAACCCTCATACATTACAGTACTGTATTAATAACAGAATGTGCATGAAGTCCATTCAGAAAAATAGTACAAGATGAGTCTCTTAACTATGATCAGACTGGGGTAGGGTAGAGAGAGGGGCCTTCTTGTGTGTGCCCCAACAAGAAGCTCACCATGTTCCCTATTGTGAAGAAGCAGTAAACACTTAACCCTACCTGTACCGAGCATACTACATTGCATACCTATTCTGGGAAAGACTGAGCAAGCCTTTCTTCCCCATTATAAAAAGTCCTACATTGGATTTTAGCAAATACTGTACTGTACTGTGGGGAGGTGAGGGAGTGAGGGGGACATCAACTAATACATTTACTGCAGTGAAGAGGTCAACATGAAGATCTGACTTTATGAACATTAACATTGGGCAAGATATAGTTTGTACATACTTGAGACTACACTACACTACACTATTAAATCTTAGTGGTGATCACACACTGTACTATTACAGGATTATTATACAATAAACTAAATAAAATTCTAAAAGCAATTAAACTGTGCTAAACTAATGTCATGTCATTAAAACATTCAACTACAGTATTGAAAAGCACACAGTTGTAAACCATCCTTTTACTAAATAAAAGGTGAAAGGCAACACTTCTCATTATCATCTGCCATTACTCTACTGAGGGGACACACTTGCTGTACACCAGTTGTAATGGCCCAGGTGTAATGACAACCACATAACAACCTTCTTCTTCATTCATCCACTATCATATACTGTATACACTAAACCCTTGATAATCAGAAATAATTGGGAAGAAGGTTTAGATTACTGGGTATACAAATTTTTGGGTCAATGAAGACTGCATTATTAAGGATTAATTGTACATGGATCACCATAATTGGCTTGGATGTGTGGGCCCACCTACTGCACTTCAAAATTCATAAAATCAGTACAATTTTGACCTTACGGTTTATGGTGACAAATTATAATAACTTCTAAATACAGAACTGCATATACTGTAGTAAAAATCACAGAACATTCTACCTCTATAAAATCACAAAGTTTTCTAACTGTATACTAAACATTCATCTTTAGTACTACTACATATCTCAATCATAAACTCAACTCGAAAATTTCAGCAAAACACAAAGGACCCATAACTATGGCTACAAAACCTTAATTTATGGCCGAGGAGGAAAATATAGGTAACCGCCAATAAATCATGAAAGATTCTTTACAATACGATTTTTTTTTAATCAAACATGGTGTCCTGTGATTCAATAATTCAAAACTTTTTACTTTTACACTCGCCAAAAACTTCTCGACCATTATAAGCATAATGCAATCTCAAAAATGAATGATGAACCTGAGACCATTCTGAGATGACAAGCCCCAGTCTGCTCATTCTAACATCCATCCTGCCCAGGTGTTCGAGAAGTTTTGGTCTAGTACATTCAAATTTTCGTTGTAACTGCTCAAATGAAATGACATAATGAAAATGTTTGTACTGTACTATAACTAAGTAACCACAATACTGCTTGTAATAGTGTAAACAAAAGTGTATGCATCAGCACACACATGTATGACTTAACACAAAAAATAACAGGCTTAAAATTCTCTCCTATATTTACTGTATTATTGTGAAGATTGAAAAAATTGGTGAAATAAATCTTATAAAACACCAATTGTTATAACAAGCCAAGTTACTCCACACTATCCTCAAGCTTCCTCACACTCGGCACATTAACTCTGCCAGCTGACAACCTTTACCCCTTCACTACGGGGATGCCACTTTTAATATTTTATTTGGCTAACGCCAGATGATATTATTCAGCTCAGAGGCGACCCCATACACGAGGGCCTGAGGGTTTAGTAGACTATCTCCATTAATCCTTTCATTAGATGATTTTACTAGGCTCAGAGGCGACACCCCGTACACAAGAAGTTAACACCAAATTGTGCATAATAAGAACAATATAAAACAATGCAAAAATATAAATCCCGCTAAGCTTGAATACCTACAGATCACAGAGTAAAAGAAGACAGTTTTAAATGCTCCTCGTTGATCAGATGTAAAAAAAAAAGTGTTTTTCCTTTTCTATTTTAGCCACGGTTCATTATGCACTGGACCCAAGTACTGCAGTGTAAATGGATGTAGAAAATGAGTGTGCAGTTACAGTTTACTTCCCTTTATTTATAGTATGTACACTTAATATATCTATTTATTTATATGGCTACTAAAAAACGTTAAGAGTATTAGTGGTCAAAAATACAAATGATCGGGATATTGGAAACACACTTTCTTTCTCTTGGATTAATATAAGGTAAATATCAGAGGGTGAATATTATACAAGCAATGCCTTCACTTGCACCTTACCACAATATAAATGCTCTATAGGATTAAGTAGCCACCAGTGCCGTCTTTAGGCCCCGAGGTCGAAGGCTCTCCTCGACATTTTATTCATAAACTGTATACTGTACCAGACATGTGACAGATCAGCTCTCCTTCACTGTCAGATATGGAAAAGGAGGAGAATCTAATCATTTGTCTAATTCAAACCAATTTATGGACATTCAATGGAACATCTAGCCAAACCAGTGCTCAGTATTCTGGAGAAAACAAAATACTACTTATAGATTGGACTGAATATCTCTGGAAGATATTTTGGACTTCAAGCTAACATTACTAAGATCAGAAAATTTACTATATTTTTTTTGGTGTCGGCCATAACAAGGTTAATAACTACACCAATCCATCAATAACTAAATCTTATGGGCGATTGAACAGTCTGACTGACAAAAAATGAGTGACTTACTTAACACATTATAACATTATAAAAAAAAAATGTCACAGCTAGGAAATAAAGAAGGTGTATTTTCCAGTTTTACCAATTATTCTCACTGTTTATCTTAAAAATGAATGTTTGCTAATGAGATTAAATCGATTTTAACATTAATTGAAAAAAATGGTCAGAAAACACACAAGTCTTCTCTGGCTTCACCATTCATTACTATTGATGCTGACAATGTGTTTCTGTTAAGACAATTATATCAAAGTGAGTAACCAACTGTATCTTTTACGTATTTAGGTGCAGCAGAAGGGGGAACCTAGAGGAGTGTCCAGTACCCTATATAACCTGAAGATGGCACTGATGACCACTCATCACAAGTATAACACCTCTTTATAATGCCTTGTATATTATAATTTGAGATCCACCATTATCTATAAAATCAACTTTCATTTTAATTATAAAGTAAATAATTCTTTGGCAAATATTTCAAGCATTGGTCTTAGGGAGGGTCTCAAAGCACTTTAATGAGAGGTTTATGTACGTCAACCAACACTCCGGAATAAGCTGTGTGAGAATGATATGTTCAACCAACGGCAAGAAATCCACCTTAGAGAGTTGGTGTAAATTGTTCATGTTTTCGATAGGTAAATACTTCTTAATTGTTTAGTTTTCCCACTGATGCAAGTTCTTTCCCACTCTGATGCTGGGTGGCAGGCATCAACAACAAGCACAAACACACACACACATACAGTACACACACTTACACATGCATACACACACATACAGTATACACACTTACACTTCATTTCTACTAACTGCCAAAAGAAGATGGATTCTAGTACCGTACATCATTTCCTTCTCATAATAACAAACTAAAACACACACATATCTGCCATTATTCATTATTACTGACACGCTCCGCTACCACTCCGAAATCTGTGAGCCCCCTAGTGACATGGCATGACAATAATAATGTCAACAAGACTCAATTCAGACCCGCTATATACCAAAACCTAAAACAGATTTGTACTTAGAGTCTTGGATTTGGGTGACTTGGGGAGGAAGGGAGAGTAGAAGTCATTTACATAAGTCATTACAGTTTAACATTAATCCTTAAAGATGGTGGTAATGGAATACAGCATTAGAATGAGTGAGGGTGTGGGAGGGTATAGGACGCACACACACACACATACAAATTCATCAAAATTCTATGACGCCATGAAATTGTCCTTCATTTACTAGACGGGAAATTAACGATGTGATTACCTTACTTGTCAAAGAACTGTAAACTTGGTATTGCTTTTAAATATATTGATTAAGTAGATGCTTCAGCCTGAACCTTAACCACTAACTTAACCACTGCACCGGTTACTTACAAATGAGAAAGCTGAAAGAAGTGAACAATAAGTCAAGTAAATAGTGGGCTAATCCTACATATCCCAATTCTTATGATAGAATCCAGATTAGAGAAACTACCAAACCCAACCACAAGAAATTTTATTAAATTATTATTATGTAAGATTTAAAAACTAATTTACCCAACGTAGAAAAAATTAACAAAACTAAACATCAAATTCCTTACCCAATACTTCCCTCATTCTCCTAAACCTTACTCTGCTATGATGTACGGTGACCAGTTGTAAAAGGAAATAAAGACACTGATGCTGCGATACATGTGTTCTCCTGTGCGGTGTTACTCCTCCACAACAACACTCCAAAAAACACCCACTTAGTTTATCTCCATTGCTAAAACAAAACAAAACACTAAAGCACATAATTAAAGTGTATTCTAGTAAATGCTTCAACAGCCTTTAATACCTACTCAGAATACTGTATTGTAATAAAGCTTTAAAACAAACATAAACACTATCACACAGATGCAACATATCCCTTTACTTTAATAAAGGGAAAGAGAATAATTCAATGGTATTTCAAAATTATTATAAGGAACTTCTAAATCATTGTAATCAAACTGGATTAAATTACTCCATAAAACATAAAATATATCATGGGGCTATTAACCTCTCGCGGAACTATTAACAGGTGACGATATCCATTAAAAAATAAATACAGGTAGCTTTACTTCATGGGTATTATCACATTAACTATTCCTTGTGCATGAGTAAATAAATTGTGAGTATGAGGAGGATAATACACTTGTGCTCTCTGTGTACAGATCCTGACTGTACAGTATAGCTAAAAATATGATTTGTTACCTTGGTCACACACAGACAGCACGTAACATACATTTAAGCTGCGTTAACCCACGATATTCTTCCTCCTCCTCCATCATAACTTCTTTAACTTTCCCCTCTCTGTAAACTTCCCCCCCCCCATCCCCTCACCATCCATTCTAAAACAAAACAAAAACGACCATCAATTACACTACTAATGCCCCTTCCCTCATCATCATGTACATGTGTGTTGAAATATAACCGAACAGAATCTAAATTAGTTTTTATAATATACAAAGCTAACGGTATATATTTAGAAGAAAAAAAAACAACGTAGGTTATAAACAAGACTCCTGTTGACTTCACATACCACAAAGGCATGAAACTTTAAAAAGACAACTTGGAAAATTGTTAAAAACACCATAAAAAAATTTGGTATTGGGTAAAATAATCAGATTTCAGCCGTATATTAACACACAGGCTACGTCTTTGAGTTTGATCACCAGGTTAAAAGGGGAAAAGTCGAAAACCTAGCGAAGAGAAACACGTCACCACTACTCTGACAACTCATCATCGTCGGCATCAGAATGAAACGGCAAGAATTCGAGTCACCAGTTGTAAAAAACACTCACTCACTCACTCACACACACACTTCCCTCATTACCTCAGCAGCATTCTCTCAGGTAGACAAATATCTCAAAGTAATATCCAAGTTTACCATATCACTGAAAACTACTTACGTATAGAAAAATATGGAATCAAAGTGTCAAATAGGGACTTTCCTTAGAGATGGAGTTTACGTGTAAATTTGTTTGTTTTCTCTCTCTCTCGTCTTTTATAAGTCTTCACGTTATGATCCATTGTGACGATACACAAACTAATTCATTACACATTATATACAATACACAGGGAATTTACGTGTAGCTAAGAGTGTAACACCAAATCTCCACCTGTTTGTGAAGTCTCAATTTTGTCTAATTCTGTCCCACTCAACTTGGAAAGGAAAAAAGGCTCAACGGTTCATTTAATTTCCTTCTTCTTTGCTACCTGTTGCTGGACCTCGCACATTAAGTCGGAATTTTGAGTGGGCCGTGTATGAGAGACGGCGGCCGGCAGTGAGGGACTGTATGACCCACTCTGTCGCCAACAGAGGGACGCCCAGCTGCTCTGCTCGCTGCACCTCCTCCTCTGGGATGGTCGGATCGCCGATAACCACTGTTATGGACTTGTCTAGAACCCGATTCAAATTGCCTGTAAACAAAGGAGACCTGAGTTTTTCCTATCATATAACTACATTCTATTTTATAACTAAACTATCTATTTCATGAATATATTACATTTATTAAACTATCTATTTCATGAATATATTACATTTATTAAACTATCTATTTCATGAACCTATTATATCTTTATCTGTTTCATGAATCTATTATATTTATTACAGTATCTATTTCATAATTAAACTATTTCACCAATCTATCATATCTATTCCTCCCCTACTTATGTGTGAGAGGTAGACAAGGAGATACAGATACCCTTAAGAAAGTAAGGGTGATGAGAGAAAAGTGTTAAGTCAAGCATACAAAATAACAGGCAAGGGATATGAACAGCTACTCGACCACACGTTAGCACTACTGTCTTCATCACCCGAGGTTGTCAAGCCATTTGTTCCTAAAACATTTGAGAATAATCACAGGTGGAAATAATTTAGTTTCAATGTAAAATAAGCATGAACTGATTTCTGTTCATGTGCTATTTTATATTCTTGAGACGACCATTCACTCCACCAGATGTCTTATAATTGTTGATAACTTCTGTCAACCACACTATGACAGACCGAGTGGTTCAAATCGACTTGCACACTAAAACAAGTCTTTGGACACACACGCACACACTTTACAACAGTTACTCGTTAACTTAGTTCTTCACCCACATTCCATAAACCTTAAATTACATACCTGACCGAGCTGGTTTCACTCTAACTTTGGCTCCGATGGTGTCCAAAAGTGGTTGCCAGAGTGGGCTGAACTCGGCGTTGGTGGAGGTCCCTAGGAAGATCCTCTCTCCCGTCAGTAGCTGCTGAGGACCCATGGGACCATCTGCATCACCAAGCTCTTGCTCCAACTGTTCTCCCGAATCATTCTCACCAGATGGCAGCATAAAATTTCTCCAAGACCGGATTTTTTTCTGAAAGTAAATTAAATACTTAGTAAAAGAGACAAAGGTAAGTTGCATCAGCGATGAAGGTCTTGAGTCGAATTTTGGGGGTCTGGGGTCCCTACCTACACCACAACCAATAGTATTTACCCATAGGGGGATCACAGAGACACCAGAGTTGCTGAGTATGTTGGTGTTTCTTAAGCAATGACCCCAATAAAGAAAAAAGAAAGTGTTTATATTTAATCTTTATAAAATATATAAAGTAAGTGTCTGTTTAAAACTAATATTTATACATAAATTTATATATAACAGACAGCCAGGCAGTAAGACACAGACTTTAAGAAGGACGGTTTCAGTACTTCTATCAGTAATTATATGTTGTAATGACTGGGCCCCTAAACCAGTCACTGTACAGCCATATACTTGCCTTCTGTTCATATAACCACATCTTCTAGCAGCGAACTATAATCCCAATCCAGTGAATCATCTTCCATCAGGAGAATTTGCTTCTATGAATATTATTTGATGAACCACCTACAGTATTTTTATCCACTAAATAATAAATACTACATCATAAACCTTACATCAGGACACACACCTCACAACAGGATGTTATGACCCACTGGAAGGACACAATTGGGATACCAGCTGCCAGGCACTGTATGAATTTAGCAGTTCGACAATGTGTGTTGGAGATGAGGAGGAGAGTGGTGGATGCAGTTGCACTTTTTTTCTTGGCCTTGGAAGGTGTTGCTCGACCGCCCTTGCAGAATCTCCCTTGTTCCGCAAGTATTATTTCTGCTTCAGAATATTTTTCTAACACCCGTCCACCTCCAATAATTATCTGATTTGTCAGATGATCTTTATCGAATGGTGGAAGGTCTTCTGAAAAATACAAACATAAGTTGAAGAATGTATGATATCTAAACCAAGTGCTTGTCCTGTCAGTGACCATAGCTCATTCTCTGCCAAACCATCCCAGAAAGTTAGCACATACATTTTTACCTCTAAATTAATGATATTCCTGTTGAAAGGATTTTGCTTAGGTTTAAACAGGGAACAGTACAAAAAAATTGCACAAAACACATCTGGGTCTTGACCAATAATGCTGGGATATTTGGGTGAGTGTTGTAGGTATTATCAACAGAGTGCGGACATTTTGTCACCGTACAATTCATCACTGGTCTAATGAATACTGCATCTTGTTATATATATAAAACTTAGATACCAATTTATTTTGAAGGCAACGAAGCCATGGTTAGGTTAGGTTGTACTGAGTTAGGTAGAATAGTGTCAATGCTTACCACAATTTTCACCCTGCCGCTTCTTAATGCTGCTGTTCCCGCTGGTCAAAAGGATGGTATACCCTGTAATATAAATCTCCCTATAATGCTATACCTCTTATAATATACAGTACACTGTTGATAAAATTATTACTTTCATTTATCATTCTGCATTTATATACCATAGTAACTTTCCGATTCCTGTGACACAAACAAAACTATATAGTAAAAAATCTCCTGGGTGAAAATATCCAAAATTTGAACTGACTAATAATCACAAAATCTTGACCAAAACCCTTGCCATCCTACCACAGAGAATGAACAATCCCAACAAAACACAGTAACACACTTGACTAATGCACTTCGGCTACAGAAAATTGTTTGATACCAGGATGAAAACTACTGTATACCACTTTAAACATTATATTTCAGATCTTGTTGGTGATTTCAGAGCAATAGAGTCTTCACACACACACACACAAATACCAATCCCAGTATCAGTATAAACTTACCTTCAAATAATCGTGAATCCTGTGGTGGGAGAGGGCCCAATTTGGGGTCTGGGGGAACATCTTCCAATTTGCTCAATTTCGTTGGGGTCTGGGTACTGCTGCTCTGACCTGACATTTACAATCACCAATAACCAACATTAAAAACTTAGGTAGAAACATGTGTTGGAGATATAAGAGAGGTACACTAATATTGTATATGGAATTACCAGAGGTGATTCCATACCCAAGTGGTCAATGATAAGTTTTATAAATTATGAGGAGACAAAACTTGATACTGTATTTGGGTTTGATCCCAGACTCAAGAATGTCACATTAAAACTGCAAACTAAGTCTTTTATCTGTACGACTTCAAGTCTCCCTCATAGGGTTCATAGACTGGCATGATAGTACTTTTGGAACCTGTGTGAAGATGTTTATACTGTAGTGTGTGTAAATAGGCCTAAGAATCTGTGCCATGATAACTTTGACCCCTTAATCTTGTAGCTACAAAACTTTAGATCATTTAGGAAACACCCCCACCCAAAAAAAATACCTGTATCTTTTTACATGCTTTGGTTCAGTGGCTTAAAGTCAGCATGGCTCTGATTTTTAGACACACTATAAATGTCTTCTTTAAACATACAGTACACAAACAGGTTCCAACATTATCGTGCCACGTTTGAACCCTTGATGTGACCCCTCAAATCCTGTCTCTTACCTACCAATGAAAAGTCCTATCTACTGTACTGCTTCATATGGTCAAACTCTGGACAAACTAGGCTCCATAGATTCTTCTGTTAACTTCCCCTTTCTTGTAAATGCCTGATATATATTGAAGAACACTTTAACAAGGCTATTCAATTATAGATTTACATGATCTTACTAACTAGCAATGGAATGAGAGATTAAAGAATTATAGTGAATACTACACTGGAGAAAAAACAAATGATGTCACCGTACCTGGCTGGCGACCACGTTTCTTTGGCGGAGTAAGAGGCACCTCTGATGTCTGAAGTGCTGCCACTGGCAAGGGCACAGCTGTTTCTGCTTGTAACTTGGAGGTGAGCAGCTCTTTCTCCAAAGATGTATCATCAGGTGGTACCGTCTCACTTTGACTAGTACGGGGGGTTCGAGGGGTACGGGGCGCTCGAGGCGTTCGCGACGATCTGGGTGTTCCGGGCCGTCTGCGTCCTCTCGGTGTGACTTTATAAGCAGTTTCACTTTCATTTTCACTCTCCTCTTGCAGAATAGGCAACTCTTGCTTTCTGGAACCTTTGGAAACACCACCTCTTTTAGTACTGGGAGATCTGCCCTTGGCGGGAACAAAGTCTTCAGATTCCCCAACCGTGGCTTCACTGGAGTCCAGATTGTCATCGGCTTTGTTAGAGCGCGGCGATGAGAATTGTTCGGGCTGGATGCGTCGTCGCCTACCAGCCACAATATTATCTAGAGATATATCTCTACCGGGAGAAGCCACTAATGATCGGAAGGCCAATCGTGCTTGTAGAATATCATTTGCCTGGGAGCCCGTGAGCAGTAGGTGAGAATGTGGTATACGTTGGATTAGTCCTCTGTCAGTCTCCACTATGTGTAACACCGTCGGCCCAACTCGCACATGACCTATCACAACCCCAGAATCACAGTAATGTTCAGTTTGTTGACGCACATAGCAAGTTTGTCCCCGCGGTAATAAATCTGTGGGCAAGAGATATACTTCCCTCACAGAGGCGGAGTACTGGTCCAACGTAAATTGTACGTGCCAACGATCAGCACCGTGACGTTCGGTTAACACAGCAGAGTAAAAGTTATTGTCAGTGAATCTGGCAAAAACTAACAAGCCCGCCTCTAACTCGGCTTCTCGCACACGTTTTAAAACTTGATCTAACTGCTTTTCTGCATCTGCACCCCCTTGACCGACAAACGCTTCCTCCTCTTCCTCAGAGAGTGGAAACTGTGAGTTTTCCAGCATTTTCCACACTTCAGGATGGAGAGAATCAAATAGGTCTAAAACAGGATCTGCAGTCTTTTTTTCTTGAGCCTCCGCAGTCTTTTTTTCTTGAGCCTCCTCAGTCTTAGCCACCAATGACGCCCCTGCAACAGGGTTTATTGTCTCTGGAGGTTCCCCATCACACTCACTATCTTCATCTAATTTTTTAGGTTTGGTGATGACGCCTCGACCTCGTCCTCGTCCCCGGCCTCTTCTCGGGGTACTCTTTGAAGGAGTGCCTTGACCTCCACCCCTTTTGCTACCGCGAGTTCGAGGACGACCGCGGGCCCGTCCTTGACCTCTCCTCTCGACTGTCACTGTTGGCATTTCATCACTACTAGCTAATGTAGTTTCCATCTGCTCTAAAAGAGCAGATGTCGGCAATCTTTTCAGCTTTGATGGAGAACTATAATCAGATGCCCTTGGAGATGTCTCTGTTCCCTTTCCACTCACCTGAGTTTTTGGTCGTGCTGCAGGAATAACAAATATTCCATCATCAGGTAAACCCTTTTGAGAACCCTCTTCCTTATTCTCTGTGACACGAGGCGGAGACGACAATGTCACGACACTCGCGATAGAGAGCCTAGAAGATTCGGTTGTCGACCATGCCGACATACGGCGTGAAGAATTGGAAGAGGAAGAACTCTTGTCCCCCAAATATCCCGAGGAGCCAGTTAACCGCGAGATGCTACTAGCGTCCGAAGTCCTACCACTACGACCACTGCCACTCCCGGTGTCGGTCACCGAGTGAAAATTAATTTTTGAAATGCCCGCTTTATCTCCATCAAACGTTACGTGCATGAGATCTCTCGTTAACGGGTGCATGTACTCTACGGTCTCTAAAGTCCTATGTTGTCTGAACCCATACTTGATCAGGTCTTCAATGGTGGATATTTTATTAAGATCTGGAAGAAGTTCAGTGTCTGCAGTGCTTGCTGCTCTTTCCAGTGATCTGACTGAATCTGGAAACTTTGAGGTAATTCCCTCTTCTGGGGATGTGTTGTGTGACTTGGAACTCTCTATTCCAGATAACACTCCTTGAGCTTCCTTATCAATGTAGCTGACACCTTCACTAGATATGTTTAGACTGATCCCTTGACTTGTGTTTGGGGTTGATGACTTCCTCTCTTCAGTCTTTAGAGACGATATCGCCTTCGTCAGTTTTTCCGAGGGACGGAGCTTTTTTCGTTTTCTGTGCACGGGACCTTCTTCCTCGCTGTCTGTCTCCTCTGCCAAGATCTTTGGTGAACCTTGTGTACTGCTGGTGCTAAGAATACCTTCTTTTTTTCCTGAACTAAATAGAGTAGTGCTCTGTGAAGGCCTCCAGTGAGACTGACTAGTGACTGGAGTTGACTGGGAAGAATGGGAAGGCATCAAATCAGACATGGGTGTGGATACATTGGAGGAACTTTCTTTCGTAACGTCACAATCAATTATGGATTTTTCTGTTACTCTGCTATCCTGAGTTTCTTCTTTACTGGCATCTAGGAGACCGGGTGAGCTCTCGCCTGATATATCAAACTCGGATTCTTTTCTCTCTTTTTTCTTTGCTTCAATTCTTTTTTCTTCTATTTGAATTCTTTCTTTGGCAGCTTTGGAAGCCTTCACAAACACAGATTCACTCTCTTGTGACCCTTGGGTATATTGCAAAGGTGGAGTGGATATGTCAGGCATCTGTAGCCTTGTCTCAACTTGAGATGACCGAGAACTTGCTCTGGGTGACACACCTACCGTGCTACTTTGTACTTTACTTGTGCTCGCTGTCATTTTTCCCGAGCTTTCAGCATCATCATCACTGCCTGCTCCTTTCATTTCTACGTCTTTATCAGTCTTGGAGGCAGATGTAATGTCCTTATGAGCATATGATTGTTTTTCTTTACTTTCAGTACTTGAAATGGGTAATGTGATCAATGGTTTAACATCTGGCTGAGTTAAACTAGCTGGCCTACATATTCTCTCTAGCTGAGTGGCCCTCATACTCCCACCATCATCTTCAACACTTTTTTTACTTTCTTCATCACTACTTGATGACAATGTATCATGGCACTTAAGATGCTCTGATTCCGACATTGTCAAAAGACTTTGCGACTCTTTTTCCAATAGAGGTTCTTCTGAGAAGAGGGGTTCTTGGGAGAATCTCTGACCAGCCTCTTCGACCGTGTAGTCTGATTCACGCTGTGTGCAAGACAACATCAAGCTGAAGTCTTGTGAACCCACTTCCTCATCTAGCGAACTATGATCCTTTGGCTTCTCATATACAATTTCAATACTACGATGCAGCCGCTCCTTATCTTCAATTATCTCAATGTCACTGTCTTCCTTATCAGAAATCTGAGGCTCTTCTTCTTCTGGTGAACTGTGTCTTCTCTCAGGCATGGGTATTGACCTTCTTGCGAACTTCAACCCACGGTCACTACTTTTTTCTGTATGAGTGGGGATTCTCTCTAGTAAACTTTTACCTTCTTCCTTGTCGCTGCTTTCCTCTTCCTCAGTATCAACAGGGAGTCGTCTCGGTAGTTCTGGCCGCTTTTCTTGCTCACTGCTTTCCTCTTCCTCAGTATCAACAGGGAGTCGTCTCAGCAGTTCTGGCCGCTTTTCTTGTTCGCTGCTTTCCTCTTCTTCAGTATCAACAGGGAGTCGTCTCAGCAGTTCTGGCCGCTTTTCTTGTTCGCTGCTTTCCTCTTCTGTATTACCGGGTAGGCTCACTGGCTCCTGCAGCTTTTCAACAAAACTACTATCCTTAAAAGTGAGACATTTTGCTACACCAGTGAGATGTGGGGGCTTTGTGGTTCTGAGTGGATACTTTTGTTGCTTAGGACTAATCTCTACACCCTTCTTTGCCAGTGACGTGTAATCTACAATGACCCGATCATCTCCAGATTCGCTAGTCTCACTCGTGTCTTCAGTACGCCGGAGTTTGAAGGGGATCTTTGGTGACTCCGATGCTGCCGACGAATCCTCCAGTACACTGCTCTTCCGCTTTGATGGGTGGGGAGAGCTGGGAGGAAGAGGAAGGACTTTCTGAGGAGAGCCAGCAGGTACACTTGAGGATGGAGTATCTGTAATAGGCCTGTGGACACAATAGTTGATATAAGATAAAAATTTCAACAAGAGTATAGACACAAATCACAAATACAAGCAGACAGACTGTAGTAAAGTGAGACAAGACATTATATATTTTCAACTTGAGGACCCAGTTATGTACAGTATTATGTGTTGTCTTAAGAACAATTACTTACAGTGCTGCACACAATACAGTACAGTACATCTGTCTCTTACAAGCTCATCAAAAAATTGCCCCTTGCTATTGATAAGCACCTAATACAGCTGTCTTTATCTCATTATATACAGTACAGTGTAGGCTCATTACTGAGAAGTCAACAAATTTTATTATTTACCAAAACTTCGGCCCCATATGTGTAAAGTTATGGGGATTTTACTGTACCAATGGTTTTATGTTTAAAATAAAAAATAAAATATGTATTTTAGGATTCCCTCCCGAGTATTTTTTTTTATCTAAGAAAATAAAAATTCAAGAAATAATTTGCCTTATGATCAACAAATAATGAAAATTTACTAATCCTCTCAAGTGCTTACTAAGGTTAACAGTTTAATACACAGCCAGTTCAACTTAGCCAGCAGCCAGCCAGTTCACCATCAAAACACTTACTCTCCCTGAGCAGATGGGATATACCCCTCCTCCTCCTGGGACAGCTGCAGAATAGGAATGGTGATGGAAGGAGTAAGAGGCACAGCTTTACTATCGTCTCCACCTGTTTGGAAGATAAAATAACGTCTTATTATACCGACTACACAATAACAAAACTCTCGAGGGGAAACTGAACTAAGGGTTACATTTTCTTTTTCATGTACAGGGTATTAAGAAAAAAACAGGTGGTGGCCTCATCTGCTGGAACAAAGGTAAGATATAAAGCCAAAGAAAATGGAAGATAGGGAAATTTAGGTCCTCATGAGATAGGGAAAATTAAGACCTTGTGGGGAAAAATATTAAGTCCTTGTGGGGAAAAAATTAGTTCCTTACAAGATGGAAAAATACCAGGTCCTCTGAACAGATAAAGGCTTAATGGCTCGGATACCTGGCAAGACACCCAGGCAGAGATGGAGGGGTCAACTAGGATGATCACCCATTTCAAAACACTAAGGGCCACATCCTACAACTCTCCATGATTACTTTTATCACTAAACAAAAGAGGAGTTGGGTTAAAGGATCCCCCTGTTGGACATCTGGTGAAAAGACTCCTTGTTCTCCTAATAAACAAACCACAATACGCAGTTAGCACTTTGAGTTGTACGCTTTTGTGATGACTTTGTGTTCTGATTATGACACTGAAGCTTACTCCTTTGTCTTATACCCTGAACATGCTAAAGTAATGGAATTATTTATGTAAGGTACGGATATTGTTGCCTCTAAGGGTGAGTGTAATCCACTACAGTTTGAAAGCCTCCAGCAGAGTCAACCTTCAACTGATGGGTAGACAGTGGGTGAGGAGAGAGCAAATCCTGCAATCTAATCAGCCTAAAGAGAACCATTAGGCCTCCTTCACACATTTTTTGTTGTTGTGCAATACTTAGAAACCAAAGGAGTTCAACGGGACCTTTCACACAATCGTCCATTGATTTCTAAGTAACACAACATAAAAAACACTGATGTGCATCCAAGTGACACAACTAACAACTATGAGTAGAGCATAATTATCACCACTAGACACAAAGTACATGTCAGTACGTCACAACACTCACTAAAACACACAACTAAATAGCTTTGAGAATGAGAGCCACACAGTTTTGGTGTGATCATGCTCAAGGCTGTTTGTTTACTGAAGTCAACCTCTCCCACTATGAAGCATTACAGGCAGGGAACGGACATGTTTGAACTGGTCCTGGTCGCTGGACAAAAATAGAATACTTGTTCAATCATGTTACTGTACATCTCAGTTAAATTTGTGCTGGTTACAACTTGTTCATCTTGGTCACTGTAGAGATGACACACACACACACACACCACAACAGCCAAACTTACCAGCCTTAACCTCCTCTCCAGCTGACTTATCATCTCCAGACATCAACTTGGAGGAGGAGCTGCCTGAAGGAAATAAGCTCTCTGATGCACCAGCCTCGGCGTGGCTTGTCGTTGTTGCACTCGTCACCCTGATGTGATAGACAGCATCATTACAAACGAGGAAGATAAATGAGTTAATTGCTGTACTGGTGATTTAGACAGTGGCCAACAACCCCATTGGAACTGATAATTAAAATGTTCAAGACTCTCAACTTCTAAAAACTATACATTGACTAAACTTTCATTGTCCCATTAAGTACCTAAAGTATCAATTAAGTCATCTCAAATATATTTTCATAACCTGTTTATTACTAACTATATTACACAAGACGTATTTAATTAAAGGCTAATAAAGGCAAAACATAGCAATACATCACAATGGCATAGATTTGTTATGACCGAAGGGAAAATGACCTATGAGACTTGTTAATGAAATACTGTATATATTTCTGTGAATATAAATGAACAGTATTCCTTAACTATTATACAAACACAAAATTACTAATGTCGTCCTCTCCTGGGTAACTCACACACAAAACTAACTCATTTTCTGTTTATTTTAAATCTCTGGGTTTTCATTGGGTGTCCTTCAAAATGGTAGATTCAACCAGCCAATGAAAATGCAAGAATCTCAGAGCACTCCCCTCAAAACCAGCTACAAACACATACTCGAATAAGTGGGAAGTTTGATCTAAGGCTGGAAATTGGACTTGAAATGGTTTTATTAAGAATTACATTAACTGTAGAGGGAGACACGATTACATATAGGAAATATTCCAACTCGATCCCGCCCTTGACAGATTATATAATATCAATTCAAGCCACAATGGACATCTGACAAAACTGACTATGGCACAGGGGGATACCATTGTAAATTATAAGTCCATTCTGTAGACAAAATTAAAAGAAAACACAAACATCTGGAACAATAACAAGAGGAAATAATAACTTTATAACTCCCCATGAAGAAAAATACTCTGAGAATCTAAAACAATGAAGAGAAACGTCGTACCAGGTAATATATGTGATAAGTAAGGGAACAATAATACCAACCCATCACTAGAGTCGCTTGATGGTTCGTGGCTACTCTCCTCTTCGTCGTTTTTGGTCTGTTTCTTCTTTTCTGCGCTTTTGTTCCCGTCTCCATCCCCTCCTCCTCCTCCATCGCCCCCTCCTCCTCCTCCTCCATCACCACCTCCTGACCCCCCTCCTCCTTCATCAATCACATCTTCCTCCTCTTTTGTACCTTCGCTCTTCTTCTCTTTGCTCCCGGCTGAGTTATCTCCGTCCCCATTACCTCTCGCTCCTCTGCTCACACCTCCTCCCTCACCTGTAAATTGGAAGTCAATGGTTCAGGCACCAATGGTTAACCGAAGACGATGATTCACACGCACCAGTAGTCAACATCAAGACAACGACAACCAAAAATCCCCCCGTGATTCGTCAATGACTAATACAAAAATAATATATCGATAGAATTACAATTTTTCATCTTCAATTTCCCTTTAATGTTAACTAATCACTCCCAGGGAATTTCTACCGTCTGTTCTTAAGCTAATTTACACTTGCTCCGAGAAGAATCTTTATGGTGAGGTTGGGCGAATTCCAAAATGAACACTGAGATTCCTAGTGTCTTGGTAACACTGTCAAAATCCTTCGTCCGTCATCATATTGTCTCGCACTGGATCATAACGGATACTATTTGGGAGCGGCAAAGTCTACAAGGAAGGGGGGAGAGAGGGGGTTGTCAGAGTCTTGATGTAGCCATTGAGGAAAATCCCAATTCAGGAAACTATATTGAAGGAAGAGATAGGAACATCTATATCAATCTGGTGTTAACAACTGTACTTACCTGTGTTTATAGAATACGTACATCATAGATTAAGTTTACTGTATATTGTCAACCTCAGTCAGATCATAAGACATTAATTTGAGAGATAATAAAGTCAATACTGTATGAAACATTTACCCTTGATATTATAGTTTACTCTGGTTAGCATATTAAAATAAATGTTAGTGATTAGTATTCAAGGGTTTATGAGAAAATTAAGTCATTCTTGCAGTAAAAACTCTCTGATTGAGATATTTCTTCACGGAGATTATTTTAGAAGAGATATAAAATATTTACTTATGGTTACTGTCTGTCAACCAATGAACCTAACAATAACCAATGTTCGTATAAGTCACTTGTCACACTATTGGTTGGTTCCAGCCCAGGACACTAATATGGCTGGTGGCCAACTCAGCACAAACCACAACACAATAATACAGTACAGCATCCACCAATCTTGCCTGGTCAAAGGACTGAACACCTGTCACATGGGTTGAGAGTTCAGACTACCCACCTATACAGCCTTTATGATAGATAACTTATTTGATAAAACGATTTTTTCATGAACTGTAATAGTGCAGAACTGATATAAACACTAAGCCTAGACAGACTTAAAAAGGTGTAAAAGCACATCAAAAATATTAAGTGTATCACACATACTTGTACTTTTGGTCCCCCATAAAGCTGAGCATCCTGGTTCTCCTTCACTCTGACCATTGCAGTTTTCACTGGCTAGGCCATTGTCTTTAAAATCTAGAGATTCTGCTTTTCCCTTCAGAAAATTATTGTTATCTGGGGAGCGTCCATTCTCTTGTGCAGGCGTGGTTGGGAACTGTGAGTCCCACTCCAGGGCCAGGAAAGGGAGAGACTCACTCTCCGGATCTTCTGGTAACCCAAGTGATAGTGTGTGAGGCAACTTTCTGCGACCTACAAGATGAGGACCACTTTATTATGGATGAACACACCTCTTACAGCAAGAGAACCACACTACATCACCTGTAATCTTGCATTCACAATTGAATGTAGCAATTAACTTACTAATTTTATATTTTATTTGTCATATCCACCAATGTGGCAAGTAACCAATCAGACAACACAAGTCGAGAACTTTTAAAGATATTAACACCAGGTAGAGAACTATGACACTCAAGAGCTGTTGTGAATGCCAAGGATATAGCCAGCACAGTGTATGGAGTGAAATGTTTTTGAGAGGAATATAAGAAGCAAAATGTGCTTACCAATTATGACTGAATTACAAGCAGTGTAACTTGCATGTAATTTAATTTCACATTTGCTTCACACTATAAAATGTTACAAAATGTCCTGTGAAACAGCAGTTATATTACTCCTGCACTACAATGTAGATATCCTGTGAAGTTTAAGGACACTGGCCACTCTGTGTGAGAACTCTGGTTCTTGTAAGATAATTGTACTTGGCAGGCCTTTTAGTATTAATAAATATAGAAACTGAATTTATTATTCAATGTTATCAGTTCCATTTAAGTTTATCTATGAAGTATAAGATGAAGTATCACTTAACTTCTGTATAAACTAAACTGACACACATTCAAACCAGGACTTCAGGTAATGTCTCTTGGATGGAGAACATTTTTCTTTTAAAGTTTGGGAACACAATTGAGTGATTCCAAGACACCACCCACTAATTTATCAGTCAATCAAAACATTTCAGAGCAACTCAGTTCAAGCTCCACACACCCAGATCTACCATGATTGCAACACTTACATTGAAGTGGGTCAAACAATTCAACACCTCTAACTTTGAAAACATTAAAATTTTCATTTTAATTTTCATTTGTGAATCCAGTGGCCTTTTGTCTTCATCTAAGTATCAGTTAAACTGTACTAATAATTATGAAAAATGATGCCAGTGACTCACCCAGGCAAAAAAGATACATAAATTATCATAAATACATTAAACTACAGTAATTGTCAGTGTGGGTGAATAATATCCATGCAGGAACTCACCAGCCAGTGACTTCAGCTGGCCAAAGGGGTGCTGTTACCTCTCTTGCAGCCTAAGGTCAAAAACACCTCCCTAGCACCCACCAAACCCATCAACCCTCCACATGAATGCTCAGCAGAAGTACAATACAATTTTCCATCAATAATAAGTTAACAAATTAGTATACATTAATGAAAAGAAGGTCAATGAATTAGTACCAAAAAGTTAAATGCACCGAGTCCCAATCTCCTAATTAAAACATGTACCGTACCTGTACCAAACATACCTGGACCATGCGAGTCTGTCATGGCACTGAGTAATGAGGTGCTGTCTTGTGATGGAGATGCCATGTCAATATCCTCCTGTCCAGCGGTCGCAGGCACCAGTTCGTCCTCGTCGTCGTCGTCATCGTCATCTATGGTCTGACTGAGGCTGGCTATTCTCCACTCATCAGTCATCTCTAAGTTACTGAAATAATAATAATAATAATAAAAGAAACACATTAGCAGCTACTTTCCCCATAAGGCTCACACCACTCACATCTACTTGAATTATTAACACACAAGTTTGGTTAGGTTAGGTTAGAACAATAATTATATCCTGTACTTCTAGACGTGCTGGATGTAATCAAAGGAGAGAATGGCTTTATGTCTGTTAAATACAACATTACTATCTTTTTTTTTTCATTATTTTCTCATTACTTAACAAATATTTACTTTACAACTTTTAACTTAATTCTAGAAGAAATTAATCATTCAGCAAAGAAGTTATTTCTTTTTATCTGAGTGTTTCACATCTAAATTACTTTATACTTTTACTTAAAACATACTTTAAAAAGGTAACTATGTTTTTGTATATTGGTACATTTTTCTTGAGTCACCATACGTTAACATAAATATGGTAATACTTGATGACCATAGTGCACTGTTAGTAAGCAACTTAGTGAAAATTTCTCCATATAAGTTGGTAATTACATCAGCTTACGATTTAAGACTCATAAGCCGGTGTTTGTGGAATAAGGAACACACAACACACAAGGAACACCATTTGCATAATATAACTAACTTTTATGATTATATTTACTTCTGGGAAACAACACCGACAAGTTCCCCATTTAGTGATGTTTGTTTCTGTTCAAACACTTATTTTCATAGAAGTTTCATTTTACTTTAGAAGAATAAAATACAAAATACCAGATTAGGTTAGGTTAGATTAGGTTAGGATAGGACAAACGGATTCATTTTATAAACAATAAATTAAAGAATGTAGCAGTACAGTATCTGGTAAACCAACAATGGTAAGTTAATGGCCCACTCTACAAGTACCAGATACTGTACTCAAACATTCTATAATTTATCTTTCATAAAATAAACGAAAACAACCTAACCTAATCTAAAAAACTACAGTTACCTTCTTTGGTTAAAATACAAAAACAAAATTGAAAGGAACCTATAAATACAATGCTTTGCTTGCACTAAACTGCTAACATTCCCACAGTAACAGTTGCCGCTACATTCCTACATGGCTCACGGACATCACCAGTATCTCCTCGGTAAACCTAAGACGGAAAAAAAAAAATTACAAATCATATTACACAAAACATATTCCTTACGCACTTTTTGTCAATTTCCCTACGTAAGAAAGTTATTATCTTCTATGAATAAATTTTCTAAAGTTAATTCCAAGAGCGGGCCACAGTCGTATAGTATTACCACCAACATTTTCCAGCCTTTGTACCGCAGAGACTTTCAAAACACATGGTAGGTATAAATTTCATCACAAAATTCCTATTAGTGTAAGTTGACAGCTCTCAACACTCTGGCATCTTAGTTCAGGTGATTAATTTCCAAACTTCTTACTCAACACCTCCTTCACTAACACCTTCCTCTCCTCATGCTAAAACTATATCATTATCAACTACAGTAATGCTTATATCTCTACTAAATAACTATCTATTGACACTAAAATCAATCTGTATTTAATATCACATCAAAATTTCCTGTATAGTGGTGAGACAAAATCAGTAATAATTTCATTTTATAATTTATTGTGTTTATGATTCAAATTGTTCCATAATCTTTTAATTTTTTCAATGTTTCTTCCTGAATGATAGTTATAATTATTCTCTTATATATATGACAATTATAGCTTGACTTTGAATGTAATTATAGCTTGACTGAGTGTAATTATAGCTTCACATCATTAACTCATCACATCACTATATAAACTAGAATTATATATACTTTCTGATATAAAAACTCCCTTATTTTCAAAACTATATAAAGAGAAATAGTTAAAGGAATATGAAATAATTATATAGGAATCACTCGACTTGCATCACATCTCTTTAACCAACTTCATATCCCATTTAACCACATTTAACCACCACACACACACCGTCACCATAATTAAACACAATTAACATTCTTAAATCATCCATAATCATTAAAAATAAAGATAGAAGAGAGTAAAATTAGTGAATATTTATACATTATTTGAGATACTAAACATCACTACAATCCTCACCCTCCCTGACAGTATAGATCTCCAATAATGTTTACCTTCACACGGGGTCTTAGGGGTGAATTAATCTCTCAGGTGGGTTTAGTAGTTAGGTGAGAGATGGTAGAGACTGGGAAGGAGGCTGTGTGGTGCTGTGGGTTGAGGGTCGTGGTGCACCTGCGTCGACTCTCTCGTCCTAACAAGTTTTGTTTTGATATGGCGCCTCAGGTCACGTGACTCCCTGCAACCTAACCTTCACTTACATATCTTTTTTAATTAAATCATCAATAAAATACATTTTTTTAATTACTTTATCTTCTTCGGTAAGTTTAAGTTATAATTAAAATCTTAGATACAATTATAGATCTATTTTTTGTTTATAGGGCTGGCTGCGTTCTAGCTTTTATGGAGTACCTTTTTTTTTCAGGAGAGGAACTGGTGGTTGCCTAATCTACCTGACGTTATATTACAGTACTTTACAGAGGCTATTTCTGATTAAAATTCTTGTAATATATATTTTTTATCCTATTTGGGATATTATAGTTAATATTTTATGGTCATTTTCTACTGTATGGTTCCCGGTACTGAAGATGTTCCCCCTCTCTTTTTTTGTTTAAAGATATTTGGTGAACTGGCCACACACACACATCTCACCAACTATTGATTCCCCATGTCGAACACCTTACAGCCATTGACATGATTAAATGATTACATACGTCATACAACACGGACCAATCAAGTCTTGTCGAGCTGTGACATAAATCAATCGTGCCCTTTCATGACTATAAATATAAATTAATATATACTTCGGGATTAAAGTAATTATTATTCCGCAATAATCCATTTCCTCTTAATATATCATGATAATTAATTTTTAAGACTTTTTATTTAAGTCTGGCGCGGGGGAGGAGGTACTGTACAGTTGGTCACGATGGCTGTTTCGCTATTAAAAGTGGGGTTTAGGGGGGGGGTCTTTTTTCCCTATGCCCCATATTCTTGCAAGATTTCCCTGAATAATGCTTCTATTCTCGCAAGATTTCGCTAAGGCCCCACATTCTTGCAATATTTCCCTGACTAAGGCTTCTATTCTTGCAAGATTTCCCTGACTAAGGCTTCTATTTTTGTAAGATTTCCCTGACAAAGCCTTCTATTCTTGCAAGATTCCCCTAAGGCCCCATATTCTAGTAAAATTTCCCTAGCTGAGGCTTCTATTTTTGCAAGATTTCCTCCACTAATAGTCTCTCTTCTTTGATACCTGTACTGTATTTACCGAACCAATCTTAGTCTAACCCAATCCAGTGACAAAATCTCCACCCACCCACATATCTATATACAATACCATGGGCTGGAGTGTGTGTGTGTGTGTGTCCCACCTTTATAAACCACCAGTATCTGCCTCTGGTGACTTCAACAATTGTCTAGTTTGGGAAAAAGGTATGATAAACACTGTCTTGCTATAGAAGAAAATAAGAGATAAATTCCTCACCTGAAAATTTGGTTTAAATATCCAACCAAATTCTAGATCCCCCTAAAATAAACTTCTCAGGTCATTGAAAGAGAGGTGCAGTTTCATCATTATTAATCTTTTGTGCAGAGTGTAATCTTGACAGTGAACTCCATGATGCTAGATAACCACCCACAGCAAGACTCACACTGGTAACATAATCCGTTGACAGTCAGCACAGAGCAGTCTTCTCTTTATGGGCCCTACGTTGAAGCTCTTCCCCTTGAGAAATGTCCTAATAAATCTCATCAAATATAATTATGATCTCATGATATACAGTAAATATTACCCTTGTGGTATTCTGGTATTTAAATTCATCATTGAAAATAAAAAAGATGCAAAAAATAATACAAAATATGTAAATACAAAAATAATCTGTGTACAGTACTATAACTTTTAACCTTTGTGTTTCGTTATACTGTTCCTCGGAGAAGAATCCTCTGCACCAGATTATTGATTTGATTAACCACACACTAAACACTGTAGCCACCATCTACCGACCCCCTATTATCCTGCTGTGACGGATCTCATAGCACTTGGTAACGTTCAACACCTACAATTATCACAGTTCAATATACATCTTAAAATTTTCATCATGATTGGCATTTCAGTTTCAATCAGACCTCTTTAAATAACAACCCCAATTCAAATTTACTTCCGTTTACAAAAAAATAAATAAATAAATAAAAAATATATACTGTACCAATAAAAATACCATATTACAGTGTGTGCATATATAATCAGCAATGGTAAATACTGTACATTATTTTTAGTACAATGCAACAAGTAGAAATCTTATACATTACTCTTAATAACTAATAGTAATAATATACCATATACATATCATACAAAGAATAAACAGCAAATATGATGCTCTCATTTCAACATAACATATACACGCTCGACCTCTTAAAACATGAGAGAGGAACGAATAACTTTCACGCTTCATTAAGTCATGTTATATCAGGGGTCCATTATACAGTATACCCTCAGTTTCCACAAGGGTTATAAATGTTCTTGAAAAATTTCCTCAATATCGAATTCCACCAAACTTTAAAACCGACTGGAAAAATTAGAATGTCATGGGGCCTCTGAATTTCTACCATCACTAAATTGTACAAATAAATAACCTAACCTTACAATGTACTAAATAAAATAATTTATACCACTACAATACACTAGATAATTAACACTCACCTATTCTCTAGTACCAACAGTGTGGGTACTTCCCTTCCTCTCTCTATGTGTACTTGAGGCAGGTGTGGGTGTCTTAACTTGAGGAGTAACCAGCCACTGTAACCAACATTAATAGTGATTCTGGCAGGTGTAAGATGAATCTAATGACATAAACTGACGATGAAGCCCACAATGGATGAGTTTACCGTGATGAATATAGACGCGGTTCCCTGTTCAATTTATTACTGTACCGTATTTTGTAATTTCTACGTTATGAAATGTTTGCTCTTTTTTTCTGAGATTAATTGAGGTACTGTATAAAGAATCACTCGGAGAATATAAAATAATCTGAATTTTTTACGAATTTTTTGTCCAAGACTCTGGCATCATCCGTAGCATAGTGAAGTGGACGGCTTGGAACTGGAATATACAGACCATGGAAATTGAGGGTTTACCAAAAATAAGTGTGAATCTTTTTTATCATTCAGCATCAAATATGAATATGCAATAGCCACGAGAGCAGTCAAGAGTTCGAGATATTTTCTAAAAAAGGCTTGCCATGGTGGACGATCTACGGAGAATAAAGGAACAGAATCACTGGGTTTTTCTGAAGTATAAAGAGCAGAGTGAAGGACAAAATTCCATAATAGTGAACATTGTGCTGTGATAAATTCCACCACAAAACATTCTGCTGTAAATAACCTTCATGATGCAAAAGATGAATTAAACAAAGTAGATAAAATAGAGGAAAGCAAAACAAATAATACAAGTGTCTGCAGTACATATAACAATGAAAGAACAAGAGTGAAAACTAGGGAAAATGAGCAGACTGCAGTAGGAAACAAAAGTAGCCATAAACCCCCCCAAAAAAATGTTATGAAATGCAGATTGTCAAATATGTATAAGAGCTCCATACATGGTAGCACTGATCCCATGGTTGAGAGACTAGTTCAATTTGTTCTTAGGATATCATGTTCATAGTTCAGAGGTATTGGGAATAAATCTGTATCCACCTTAATCTGTAGGGAAGAGTTATATACTGAAGATAATATCACTTGACAGACTATAGCGTTTAAATAAGTAAAGCAATGACCTTGTTCCACATAACCTGAGTGAGGCTAGGATTGAGGGTGGCCAGGAGGAGGGTGGGTGAACCTAGATGGTAACGGGAAGAGACGTTATCACCCATGAGAGAGTGGCACGATGCAAGCCAGTTAAGTAGTTGATTGAGGGTTTGCTTCCACTGAGGCTGACCGGACAGAGTGACTATGGAAGGCAGTAGGAGACGGTCTCGGAGTGCAGGAGACTCGGCCAGGACTTCCATGTGATTGGTCGCCCACAGATCTGACCAGACGACAAGTCCCATCACTACCAAATCCAAGTAGAAGGTTACTTTTTGTTGCTGTTCGTGGGCTGCCACTAGATTATCTCCGGGCTTCTTCTTCAGATTATCTCTAAGTCTACCGAGGAGTTGCAGGAACCAGGTGGTGCTCTCCTTCACTCGACACCGGACGACCAACGTATCCGACATCACCCGCAGCAGATGAGAACGGTCGCCGGGTAGGGATGCAGCAGAGTCCACCAGATCATTTAACCAAGGCAAAGCCAACTCCTCTGGGTCTTTTTCTGCCACATGACACCGCAACACAGCAGCTCGGTACAGTCGCTCATCGGTGACCTCCCACCAGAGAGACGGTGAGGTGAGACGCTCAATGTGCTTCTGAGGAAGGTCGGCCACGCACGCCTTGTATGCCTTGTACAAAATTTCATTTGTTGGGTCTATGTGTTCATTCAGATTCTCTACTGCATTACTCAGAGCATTTCTGTTGGTATCAAAGATAAAGTCAGCAGTAAGGTTAGGCTTTAAAGCCTCAAGGAGTGCCTTCATGTGCATTGTGTCTGATAAATGTTGATTAAAAACATAAGCCAAGAATGGCTGCAAGACTGTAGGTGGCAACCCACGACCAAGATGATCCAGCAGCTTGAACAGTACAATTTCATCTTCTCGGGTTAAACCAGTAGACGGTGCAGGCACCAGCCATTTGCTTATTATGGCAACAGCTGAGCCAGACTTATTACACTGACGAGCTGTAATTTGGAACATACTGTGTCTTATTCTTGTAATCCAATCATAATTGCAGGTTGCCTGAGCTATCGTCAGTACCTTCTCCAGAAAAGACCAATCCAAGGCAGGATATGGTCGAGGTAAAGACTGACCAAGTGCTTCAAGCATCAACACTGAGCTCCTGAGTAACCTCTGCTTTACCTGGGCATCTTCACAACGCTCCATCAGTTTGGGAAATTCCGAAAGGAAGTTTACCAAAGCCCTCAGAGTTGACATATCTTTGAAAAAATTGTAGGATTGTGATTCAGGTTGACCACCACCACTACCTTTGATTCCTCTGCGTTTGGCTTCCTGAACAGCTGTTAGGTATATACTTTTGGGAAGTGCAGCAACTTCTCGTGAAACAAGTGAGTTGACGAAGCTCTCAACGAATTCCAGATGAGACTCCGGGCAGCCTTTTATTAACTTGACCCATCCTACACCAGGCACGTACTTCAACACGTCCTCAGGCTTACGGGCAGCCTCAAAAGGTGTGGCTGCCATGCTAGCTGGTAAATGATGACCTTCCCTTGCATACTGGGGAAGCATCTTGAGGGTGTAACTATCATACTGGAATTTTTCTAATGACTTATATGCAGCTTTTACTATTGAAAGAGACCGGTTTGCGGCAACCCAGTTCCAGAGAATGGTGAGGGCGTCTGAGGTGAACTTCTCATACTCGGTACTGGTCACGTGGAGCACCGGAACCAATCCAAGTAGCGAACACAGCTTCTCCGTCACCCCGGGTCTCTTATCTCGGACCAACTTGGGGGCAATAACACGCCAGGTTGTGCGGAGATCTATAATCTGGTTGGTACATAAATCATAAATACCATCGAGGGCTATGAGAGTCTGTGCTGTTCCGTCTTGTTCCCGACAATCATTCAAGAAACCAGAGAGGAGAGGCAAAAGTTCCTCGCCGTGTTGAGAAGGCCTGCAAAAAAAATATAAATTCTATAAAGTAATACTGTACTCTTAAATATTTTATCTTTCTATTTATACATTAATCGATCAAAGCAAAAGGGAAGAAACTCTATCATCGAGTAAATAAATGTAATCTTTTCAATCTTAATAGATTAGTGATGATGTAGACAGATAAATCATATAAAATCATGAGGCCTTGTTGTGGAAAGTTAACACCATAACAGAATACATCTCTTACAGCAAATAGATAGAATGACTAACAACAAAGGAAAGGGAAAGTCTATGTTTACTAAATACCAGCAATAGTTACTTTGATCTACACACGCTGGACACCACATAAGTACGGGCAATCTGAATCTCGTTAGTATTTATGGACTTGTCGTGGATGAGCTGGGAGAGGTAGGAATAGGTCCTCGGCTCCACCGTCCACAGGTCATACATGAGACGCAGCACGAGTGGCCGTAGTGACCCAGACGACCAGAAGGCGAGGAGAGTCTTCAGCACCAAAGCTACACACAGCTGAGAGACACACACAGATTAGTATTTACATTACAAAACTAGACATGACTCGTATTAAACCTGCTAATAGCCACGAGTGATCTGTTCATCTGAGTATGGAATAATGAACAGTACAGTAACATTCGCAGTTCTTTTGCCAAAGTGTGGGAATGATGTTCAGTTTCCTCTCTAATTTCTATGTACTGTGTTGGCCATGAAGCAAGATCGTAATTACCCAACAGGTTTAAGTCATACCCCAAGTGGCATGGATTTTGCAGTCTTGGAACACAATCAGGTTTATTTTCCATTGGTTTAAGGTTCCTAAATCTCACACAATGATACAGAAAAGGTTTATGTGTTATAACTCACACTGCATCAATAAAGTGACTTAATAACCCAATTGAAAGTTACCTTATTAACAGCGAGAGAAGGGAGAGTGTAGAGGATAGTGAGGCGCGTCGTTGGGTCGGTCTCACGGCCCAGGCGGTACAACACTATGGGGAACACCTCGAGAGACAGCACCTTCTTCTTCATCACTTCACGCTCCAGGACCTAAATGTTGATACAGTATTAACAATGATATATAATAAAGAGACAACAAGAGAAGAATAACAACAATGACATAATGAAGAGACAACAAAAAGAGGAGTTTCTATATTATTAACCACATAATGTTGTAAAAGTAGTCCTTCTCTAAGTATGATTTCCACTTTAGACTGTTGGATTGATTGTGGTAATTACATCCCTGGGCAACACAAATCTTTAGGTCACTGTAACTTAGGCAATAAAACAGTATCTCTGACCACACCTTTGTTGCCTGCTGGACAGACTGAGTCGTCGAGCCTTGGTACAGGAACACGGACGTGACAATGGTGTGGTAAAAACTCGAGATCTGATTTGTCGATGATGCTAGCTTTGTCAACCAATCGGAGGCTAACTGTGGGTCTCGCACTAGGCGGTCAGAAAACTCGAGGGCAGGAAGGTAAGAGACCAGACTTGAGAATGTACAAGAGAGCGTTTCCCAGTGTTCATTGCCTGGAAATACACATAGGGAGTCACGATACTTCCAACACAGCTTAATGCTTGTAAAATATGTATTTCCCTTAAAACCCTCACATATACTGTATAGGCATTAAACTCTCATATATATCTAACAGAGGCATTAAAATACAGCTTACTGGATACAGGGGCATTAAAATACAACTTACTGGATACAGCAACAATAAAATACAACTTACTGGATACAGGAGCAATAAAATACAGTTTACTGAATACAAAAAATACAGAAACTTACCTGCCAGTTGGGTATTAGAAGATGCTTGAGCAGGTGTAGCTTGTACAAGAGAGACCAAAGCAGCGGCAGCGGTGGTGAGGCCAGGGACTGAGGTGCACGGGGCTGACAACACCTGCAGGAGGGACGGTAGAAGCCTTGCACCTACGAGAGGGTTCCCATCCTTATAAGACAGCAGCGTTGCACCTGAGAATTATTTGTTTATCTTTAATTTCAAGTAGAGATGAGTTATTAAATCAGAGAAATAAAGAGAGAGAGAGAGAGAGAGAGAGAGAGAGAGAGAGTAGAGTAGAGTAGAGTAGAGTAGAGTAGAGTAGAGTAGAGGAGAGAGAGAGAGAGAGAGTAAAGTAGAGTAGAGTAGAGGAGAGGGAGACAGACAGACAGAGTGGTGTTCATTTTGAAATCCATCGGACCCCTCCATAAAAAAACCTTCTGGACCAAGTGTACAAAGATATGATTCAACAGTCTATAATTTTTCTTGCAATACATCATTATACTATGACCAAGGAACAGATATTTTATGCCATTTCTTACCCAACTTGAGCAAATTGACTTGCAGTTGACCAGATGTCTGTGGGAGAGCCTCAGCGAGAGCACACACGGTTACGTCACAACCGCGTCCAAGGCGAGAGGCCAAAACATTGATATAGCGTTCCAATGTCCTCGTCCCTAATCCCTGTTTCTGTGGGTAGATACGTTTACATTACTCGCTCGGTACGGTAGTGGAACCTCCAAGGGGTAAACTAACAGAGAATCGAGGTTCCAACATTACAACAAAAATTTTACTTGGATATTATTGTTGTATTTGGTTATAACTTTTTATACTAAGAATTACAAAACACACAAAACAATCTTTCAGCAACAAGATATCAGAATACTATGTCAGATATAATGTCCAATGAGATTTTAGTCACAGGAGAATTAATACTTACCATGGCTGGGGGAACAGCCATCACTAGGCAAGGAAGAAGTGCAGACTGTAGTCTGGTCAACTTTTCCCCTACTGCTATCTCTGCCAGGGCCGTCAATACCATCACCTTCCTCTCCACATGGTCTTTGGTACTGTCCTGAATGTTAACGATACTTTAATTAAAACGAGGTCGAGAATTATTTAAAGTAACCTATAATTAATACTTTCTTCACTATAACAAGCCAGCAGATATTTCAAAGTAATCTAATTATAATCAATACTTTTCTCATTCTAACAAGCTTTTTCTTACTAAACTGCAAGGTGGGCAGAGCCAAGTGTAACAACAGACTCTCCATCCTCATAACTCACTGCAATGCTCTCCCATCATTCACATACTCTGCTGTTATCAATTGTACATCCTTCCTCACATTTATTACTATTCTTGTCCTCCCAAATTACCTTAATAAGAGTAACAATTCGACACAGAAGAGGGACTAAATCCATCCCAGCGTGGGTGATGTGTGAGCTGACAATGAGTGCAAGCAGTGGTCTTGCGATGCCCAGAGTCATCTCCGTGAGGCAGAAAGTGTGTAGCAGTAGTGGGCGCACATGACAAATACTTGAAGCCCTCACACTGTTGGAGAAAAATAATGAATGTTAACACCTTGTGTATGGGCACATACAACGGCATGATGGGCAAAGCAAACGACTAATGCCTCGTGTTGATGGCAGCAAAGGCATAAAAAAAAATATTTTTATCCAACACATTAACACTGGAGACTATATTTCTAGAGTGTCTGTTTGTCACCATAATAGCCATCTCTCTGAGGGGTGCATTAACATTCCTTTCAAACACAACACATTAATAGAAATTCTTTTACTAGACAATCTTACACCCAACAAACACACATACCCATTACATTCTTTAACCAATATACCTAAAAAATCTGAACACATCTCCTTCCCAAAGATTACAATTTATTGAATCTGAACTTTATTAAGACAATACACTATACAGTACAGTACTATAATATCTTAATACAAAGATCTGAAAAGAATCTTAGACCAGTGATCATACTTTGGGTCTGGATGCCTCAACATGTTAGCCACTTCCTCCAGCACAGTAGGAATCAGATCTGAACGCTTGGTGATTAAGGTCACAAAGGGATGGACTGGCCCGGTAGGAGGACCCGTGAAAGGGGTTTGTAGCTGTCCATCAACCTCCACTTGTGACAACAGCACAATCTCTGTTATACCTTGTACAACTGCACTTGGAGACCTGGCAAGACAGAGAATTATGATAACACATAATATACTGTACAGTATTAAACTTCAAAAACATTAAAAATAAATCAACAAGGGTACCAACAATTTTTCTTTAACAAGACTTTCCCTACTGTTTTGTTTCAGCACATGTGGACACAAATGATTAACGTTCAATAGGCATTAAGTGATCATTCTGCGGGTACTCACTTAGCACAAGTAACATCTGCCAGGAAGTTTTGCAAGGTGGCCGGGACAGGCAGCAGTCCAGCCTTCACCAGCGACACCAATGTCTCGATAGCCAAGGTGGCCTCTGTGACATCCCCTTTGTTGGCTGTCTGCCACAGGCACTTCACCTCTTCTGACTAAACACAGATGGGAGATAATACATCATTACTAAAGATGGTATTTTTCATTTCTTATAAGCTCTTGTATCACTATAGTGTAATATAACTAAAATCAAGAACAAACACAGTTCTCCTTTCATTCACTGTCAGTCATTTGATTTACCTCACCAGAACTAGATGATGAGTGAAGATAACAGAAAGACATATAAATTAATATCTTATAGGTACCAGCAGTCATCTTGTAATCTATCCTTTGCTTACCTCATACATAGACGTTGCATCTTTGTGAGTTTCCACCGCTTTCGTATGCAGCTTTGTAATTGCCTGAAAGGAAGATTAACCATTAGCAGAATAATAAAGACCTTAGCTACTGTATATGAAAGCTTTGTTCAATATAGATAAGAAACAGATTAACAATATGCATAATTAGGACAATACGGTATACATAACACACTGAAAAAATACACATACTAATTTCTATCATCTTTATAGTAATTTCAGTGACTTGCATTACAAACTTTTATACTTTTATTCATTATCACAACAGTAGTCTCTCATGTACATAGGACTCTCACTCACTCTTACCCCCTGTATATAGGGTCACCTCTGAGCTGAATAAAATCATCTCAAGTTAACTAAATCAAATATTAAAAGTGGCATCACCATGATGAAGGAGTTTTATAAGCAGGAGAATGGCTGGGAGAGATAAGATAAATTATTGCTAACACATTACATATCCCCACCTGTGCTGTACCTGTAATTAAAAGCCTGACATACAAACAAACATAAATACCATTAGTATATACTTGTATGCAAATACGGAAACTACACAACAACCACAACAAAAATAACGACGCCAATAATTCCCTATAGACTCATAACAGCAAGACACATATGACCTGTAAGCTGGAACAAGAGAAAAGTATTATAGTATCAGTAACATATTCACCAACCTGACTTTGTAGGAAGACATTGCCCGAGTTTATCTTCTGCTCATATTCCTCCATCCTCAACTCCTTCTACCTGTAAGACAATGCAAATTAAAGGTGGGTAAAAATGGCATTATATCCAGTAGAGTATATAATGTTCTTTATAAATTTCAGGCTGTGCAAAACTGAACTGTATCACCTTAAGATTTGAGTTTATTTCATTTTAAGATTAACCGCTCTAATGCTATCCTAATCCAAACCTAACATAAATAAACCTATCCTAATCCTAAGCTGACATAAATAAACCCAACCTAATCCTAACTTAACCACCCTAATGCTAACCTTACCAAACTTATTCTAACCTAACAAAAATAAACCTAATCTAATCCTAACCTAACAAAAATAAACCTAATCTAACAAAAATAAACCTAATCTAATCCTAACCTAACAAAAATAAACCTAATCTAACAAAAATAAATCTAATCTAATCCTAACTTAACATAAATAAACCTCACCCTATCACAACACTAACTTTAGGAAAATTTTATATATAACAAAAATTTCTTTCTTACATGTAGAATACCAAAAAAAATTACAACCTTTTATTATTGTTTTAGTTAAGAGTTATTACAAGTCAGTTCTCTAAAACATAACCCCTGACACCCCTTGGTTGATGTAATATAAGACCCTGTCGTAATTTCTAAGATGAAGAGTAATAATTTTTATACATTAGTTGAGCTCATCCAGAGATTCCTCTCTCTGGTTGACCATAATGGCAGTATGTGTGTTTTAGGAGTCAATATAATTTACCTCTATACTGTGTGTAACATTAGTGAAACATAATCACTCAGATCTGACAAACTTACAATATCATAAATAACACTATGTGACTCCAGACATAGTTCACTGATAAGTTATACATTCACAGGTGACTTTATATGGTTCCTGAAATACATACATCAGTTGTATTATGAAGAAAACTCTAGAAAATACAAAAAGCCGAGTCTTGACATATGCCACCACAAAATTTATACAACTTCTAACATGACAACATAGTTTTTTACATATAACAACCACACTACGGCTAGTTCAGGATTGACCCTCTCACGTAAATCTACTATAAATATTGATGAAACTGGTGAAATATTCCACAATATCATAAAAATCATTAACATTATCAGCAGCATGTACCTGTTTGTTGACGTACAGGCGGCGCCGCGTCCTGCTGCCAGCGTCTGACTCTGGCTTAAGCTTCATGTAAATCTACGAATACCTTGACGTCATTTATCTTTACAGAATAAAACTAATTAACTATATTTAATTAATTTACATATAATCAATACTATAAATATAGTCGTATTTACATTTCTTATTGAGATTGGAATATAATGGTGTGTGACTTTGTATTGGTGATGGAAAATAAATCCGGATTTTTAGTTGTGTTCCTGAGAATAAATCTCCTAAACAATGTTAGAAAAGAGACGAACACACAATAGAATCCCTTATTTCTAATATAATTTAAATACCCTAACATAAGATAATTTATTAAAACAACCTAATAACACTAAGTTAATTTGAATAGATTATAATGGTTAATATTGTCCGATTAAAACAGAAATAAAGGGTTTAGTCGCCTCACTTTGGTACCTTCATAACATTAGTCTTGCATGGCGAGGACTTGACTGACAACAAAATCAGGCAGAAAGAAATAAAGGGAAAAGTTAATACACACTCCTGCTGCTCAAGGGCGTATAGAATATCACGTGAAGCAGGATGGTGAGCGTGATGGCCGTGGGCTCCTTGTGTCGTGGGTTAGGGGCCCTCACTCTTAGATCAGGAGGACCATCTCTGACGACTATTTCATTTACTAAACACTCATTCCAGCAGGTAAGAATATTTAATTAGTACAGGTAAAGAGTATTCTTATTTAATTTATAGTTAAGTTAGCAAAAGTCATGGCATAGTGTAGACCCCCCCGACCTGAAATTGGTTTTATTACTTTCATAATGCTAATTCGTCTACAAATTTATTTAATAGCCTGAATTGGCTTGAAGTGAACAATACAGTGAAAACAAGCCAATTCTATCTTTTTGTTACTGACTGGCTCTCCTCCCCTTAGACTCGTGCATCTCTTGACCCAGATGATCTCCTACATTCTCTCCACATGCCTAAACCATCTCATTAATATGTTATAATTGCAGGTTAGAAGTAACTATAACATCCACTATATTGACCAACCTGCGCCTGGCGACCATAAAAACTACCGCTATAAGGTACACTTCCCAGAGGATGGCCAGTACACTGTTAAACCTCTCAAGACTACTAAGCTAGGGGGCCGTGACCCTGAAACAGGTAATTGACAAGGTGGAATATGTGTATCTGGTTTTGGCCACCAATACATCAGTATAATGCTTGCAGGAGTTAAAAAATTGACTTGCCTCGTTGTTCACTAGTTTTTGGTGCGAATACTGTTATAGATACTGTAGTTGTTTGTTACTTATCGATAGTAAATGCAGAATAGAAATCAGAGTGGGACATATTGGCATGCTTCTCCAGTTAGAAAGGTAATTGATCATACATACCTTATTAGAATATTTCACCCCATAAGTGATATTGGGCTTTGACTTTTCAACAGGTCGTATCATTGTGGGTACACTGGGAGGCGGAGCGAAGAGAAATTATCGCTGGATTGATTGGTTTAGGTATGGCCCCAAGGATGGGACGTTCCTTGAGGAGAGAGTCATAAAAATCTTATATGACCCCAATCGTTCAGCCCGTATTGCTCTTGTGGCGCATGGGGATAATTTAAGGTACGAATTTATAGTTTTACATTACCCAGTTTTATTTTTTAGCATAATTTATTGTTTTGTATTACCCAGTTTTATTTTCAAGAATAATTTACACAGTAGTTTTATATTTTATTTTCAAACGGAATTTACAGTTTTACATAATCCTCTTTTGTTTTCAAGTTACTGACAGCTAAATTGCCATATAATGTTCAAGCAGAAACATTTAATTTTCCAAGTGTTTGAAACATATTGTATGAAGTACGCATTTGTGTCTGTCATTGAAAAGTACAATTGCTATTACTTTCTACACAGCTCTCCAAACTAGTGAGAAGTTGGATCATTCATTCTCCGCTGGTGTTAGTCAAATAAAATATTAAAAGTGGGGCCCCTATAGTGAAGAGATTAATTCAACAGCTAATTTGATTAATATTTCAGGTACATCATTGCCACTGAGAATATGGCGAGTGGAGACCTCATCAAAACGTCGAGCTATATACCACGGATACCAGGTGAATATTACAGGAGTTTACGTATGGATTGTATTATATTGTATGTTATGTTTTGAGAAAATTTTATCAGTCACTTTATTATGAATGTAAAGATTGAATTAGTGAGAATGAATGATAGGAAGTGAACGGAGAGAGAGAGAAAACGGTTTAGTATTGATAAACATTACATGGCTGCATAAGGCACATGTTGATAAGAGATTGTTTAACTTTAAAACCACAGTAAAACAAGTCCAGGTCAAACTCTCCACCAAGTAATTACATAAAGGGTGAAGTTTCTGGGTACATGAATTACAATATTACAAGACAAAGTTTAAGTCACAAATTAAGTGAATTTTGGGATGCAATACAGTGGTCCCTCGGTTAACGAACACAATTCGTTCCAGAAGGTCATTCATTAACCGAAAATTTTGTTAACTGAAACCATTGTTTCAATGGGATTTTGGGTAATTGGTTCCAGCTCACCGAAAATTACATACAAACTAAAAATAAATGCAGTAAAGTACACTTACTTTGAGGTGTGCATGTAGAAGGCTCCTCATTGATGATGATGATGGGAATTAGAAGTGGGGGTGGAGGAGAAAGGAGAAGAGAAGGCAGTGAGGTGGAAGAGAAGTCACCCCATGCTTCATGCAGCCATTTCACCAATAAAATTTTAAGTTTACTTGGTGTAATTCAAGATTATTTTCTTTAAATCAACATTGCACTGCATTATATATTGTCAATATGTAAAATAAATTTCAGAATGATCAATAATTGTACTGTAAAAACGTAAAAATAGTTTATGTTCAAGAGAGTCTCAAGCAAGATGCTTCCTCCACCTAGCAGTGACACAAACTGACGCCATTCTGGGTGAGTCAAGTGGCTGTTTGGCGCGCTAAAACTAGTTCCCTGTACTTCAATTATGTTAAATAATTGTTAAAATGACTAAAAATTTTAATATAAGACTTGGAAAAGTATTGAATAGTACAACCTTCTTGATATTTACTCAAATGGTAATGAATTTAAAACCAAAAACCGATTACTGTATTGGCGGACTAATACTACAGCTGGTGAGCAGGCGAAAACATGTTGGGAAAAATTCGTAAGGAATTCGTTAACCAAATTTTTTTCGTTAACCGAATTGAATATTCTTATGGAAGGTAATTCGTTGACTGAAATTTCGTGAACCGAGGGATCACTGTATGTGGTATACACGTCACTCCTCAACTGTGAGAGATGTTTGGCCACGTCCAACAGTTGCCGTTCTATGATGCCTTCCTCACTAATTTACTCCATGAGGCTTTGGTCATTGGGTGTGTTGTCCAGATTTGGACCTCCCGATTGTGGACTTCATTCTATCTCTGACCTCCAATCTCAGTTGCCGAAGCCGTTGGTGCTGGCCGCTGCTGTGTGCCCGGTCATGTTGGGAGCTAAGCCATTTTATTTTTGCAGTAATCCAACTTGGGTCGTCGTTCTGCTTGGTGAGAGTGATTTGTGGGAAGTAATTCTCATAGTTGGTGTGAAGTATGAAGTGAAGATGTTCTGCAGCATGATTGAGGTCTGAAATTTAAATCACATCCCTCCAGTCTTCATTGCAAATCCATTGTCTGAAGTCCCTGATGGATGAATCTTGGAGTGGTTGAACTAAGATGGTTTGCTGTGCACACCTCCAGACAACACCATTATGGTCCGATGTACCGAGTGGCACTACTGTGAACGGGGTTGTTTCTTGTGCAGCAATTTCTTTGACAATCTTATCCAAGGTCACATCCCCTCTGGTTGGTAAGTTCATAATTTGTTGGGCGCCAAGACTCCGACATAGAATATCACAGTCAAAGTACGACTGAAATCATCCAAAATGATGACACGGGATGCTGGCCTCTGGGAGTGAATGAAGTCTGTTGATTGAATTATGTGGTCAGATGTCAGTTGCAATGTCATGTAAACTGCTGCAACAGGTGACACATCTCTGGCAAGAATGAAATAAACTAATAATAATTTCTTTCATCAGTGCGGCCAAAAGAAGGGGATGCCTATCCTGTAGGAGCCTTACCCACATCAACAATTGTAAACTGCTTGGAGATAAAACCTGGTGATGGGGCTCGGTGAGTAGTACCACAATAACCGTCCAGTACACAAATTTCAGAATGCAAAATACTTGTGATTTCAGGAAGAAGAATCATGTGAAAAATAGTAAATATGCTCATGTTATTCAGCAAAAAAATCTGGTATATACTGTATCCATATCACTTGAAAATATAATAATTTATGATCTGGATGTAAATAAAGACTTGTTTCATCCTCTCAGTTATTAGTGAATTGACTCAGAGCTCAGTGGTAGTGTTGTTTTGTGGCCTCAGTGCCTCAACTGCTTAACCAAGGTACTATTATAACTTCTTTTTTTGTACTAAGAAATTATTTTAATTTCTGTTTCCCCCGTTCTCAGGTTCATCAAAGCTGCCGGGACAGGAGGAATAATTATGAGGAGGATTGGCAAGAAGGTTGTTGTTCAGTTACCAACTAAGAGAGAAGTGGCTCTTGATCCTGAGTGCATGGCAACTGTAGGTATGTACTGGTATGACCACTTTTCCATCAACTTTAAACCCAGATTATGTCAGGGCATTAGTGTGTTTTATTATACTGTACTCACATTACAGAATGGAATATGGTAAGTTTTTGTTTGTCCATCTGGCTGTCTGTTAACCCTGCACCTGTGAACTTGAGATTGCATAAACAATTCATTATCTTGGGTACTGCCATTTATACACAGTAATATGTACCACAGTGGTGGGCAGGGCTAGGTCACATCTCACCATTGGTGTCACTGTTGTCCATTTACTCCACCGATCGCATGCTGCAGTGTGCGACCAGAACACCCATCCTGATTTGCTGTTGATGTTCAGATGCAGCGTGATGTAAGCTGCTTCCAGGGCTTTTCTGGTCTTCTTGTTTATGCCCTTGTGTAAGACATGGGTGCCTTCCCATCTGGGCAGATGTCCTGCAGTGTCTATTTGATTGACTAAGGCACTGGTTGTCCAGTCGTGTCTGACGTCCGTTCAGTTTTCTCATCTGTAGGTCTCTCCATAGTATGTCTTGTCACAGGAGTCCCAGGGTATACTGTGCACAAAACTGTCGATGTTTGTCTGGAATTTCTGTCTATTTCTGACAGTCTCCGATCTTGGTTCCTGACGTGATGGCTCTCTTGAAGGTGGAATGTTGTAGGTAGTCTGTAATGAAAGAATAGCGAAGGGAGAGTTAGGTACTACCGTGTACAAGTACAGTATCTCTGCTTTGTGTATGTCCTTCTTGTGTCATGTTAGAGTCCATCTTTGTTGTATTTCCTTCACTACCATCTATCTGTTCACTATGAACAATGTTTATGAGTATTACTGTTAGGGTCACTTGAATCAAAGGTCACAGATGTTGCACTGATGCCTTGTACCTTCCACCTCAGATGGACTTCTCTTTCAGCCTTCATTTCCAAAATTATTAATAAGACTGAAATATGTAAATGCCTCGAGCTAAGTTAATATTGTCTTGCAGGAAGGGTGTCAAATGTGGATCATGGCAAAAAACATGTTGGCTCTGCACAGAGGCGACGCTGGCTGGGAAGACGGCCGGCATCTGGGCTGTGGCAGCGTAAAACTGGTTATAATGGTCGAAAGATCCGTCCTCTGCCCCCGATCAAGTCTTATGGTGTACGTCCAGAAGAACTGCCGGTCATGAGGTTCACCATCGGCTCAGAGGGTCCTTCTAGACGTATCATTCCCAGTACAGATCGTGTTACTTAAAGTTACACACAAGAAGTTGTTATTAAAAGACTTTTTTAATGACAAAGCATTTATTGTACATATTAATAAATATGAACACTTTTATATGATGTCGACTTTTTGAACACCCTAACACAATTTTCCGAGGGGCACATTTTCTGGAAAATTCCGAGAAAATTTTCCCGGTTGACCTGGAAATTCCGGGAATGGATTTTTTCCAGGTTTGAGAGAGTCGCATCGTTACCCAGAAATCTCTCATTCCCGGAAGTGCTCTGCACCAATTGTATGTATTCTATGTACAGTATATACGTACAGTACATACGGAGGCACACAATATATAAGTACTGTATTCAATAAAGAGGGATATAATGTCTGGCGTCTAGTACAGGCTACACCACCACTTTGTGTCACTGTTTATCCATCCATTACTTGAGTGGCAAGGGATAAAACATTCTGACTGTCTGCTTTAAGATACAGTATAGAATCTGGGTGTACATGTGGACTTATCACATGACCAATACAATTCACTAAATAAAATAATCCTAGGGACAGAATCTTTAAGAGAAAACAAGTTACCATTAATATAAACAATATATTTTAGTCTTTCATATAAAAGTAAACCAGCTCCATATTTTTAGGTACAATGGGAAATTTAGGGTGAGTATAGTACCAATCACTAGTCATGTCTAACCATATACCCCAGGTAACCCATAGCTACACCCAAAAGAAATGAAATAATGACGCTGAAATAACACATGATTCCCCGATACTATATACCCTGTAATGTACTGTACTTCCCCATTGACACAACATGCGATTACAGCAACGTCTCGTATCTTTACGTGAAAAAATACACTATCGCCGTTTCCTATGACTAATACCATGTGACAGTCCTGCGTAGATTACACAAATGAGCTACAGAAAACCTGCGGACTCTACCTGTGACGTAACTCATGGTTCGTTTATATTAGTCGTACTCTCAGCATCACTGGTCAAGGTGTGCGAACCTCCTCCTCAGTTTCTCTCTCTTCTTAAAATTCTTCTTTCTTGGTTGGTCATCTACACTTGAACCACTGATGAAATAAAACAACCATTAGATACCTTAATACTAAATTATACAAGCCTTAATACCAAATTATAGTATACATACCTCAATACCAAATGATAGATCAAGTCAATGCTATAAGATAAAAGATATGGGAAAGAACTGCAGCATAAATAGGAATGTAGTCGGTGTAATCTGCCAAAAACCTGACAAGTGGCTACAATGATCTCCCCCAATATCACCTGCCTCCTAAAACACACTTATCTTTCAGTAATACATATATAATTCGTTCAACACCCAGCCATTGTTCACTATTGGTTATAAACTTATTCTAATTTCAGCTCAATTTCACTCGAACTTCTTCAATAAAAACTAAAACAAACTCTTAAGCTAACATTAAATTTCTATAGATGATAATAATGTAAAGAAAATGCCATTAAGAAGTACTGTTAATAAGGAAATGATCTTATACACAAGAGTACTGAACATTATACCCACTTCTGTACTCTTGATGGTCCTCCTTTGTTAATTCCTTTTATATGAAACTGTGAAGTTGTCGTGGCAAAGAATTTCCTGTCAATTGTCTCTGGTCTTATCTGATACGGCTGTAGTGAGAGAAACACGAACAAATTAGCCAAAACTCTATAAAACACATATAAGAATGTTTTATTTCCATCTGATTTAATGATTTTGCTACACATTAAGTTGAAGCTCCACCTGACCATAACTTACATATCGATCATATGTTCCTGCCTATTGCCATCTCGTCATATATAGATCCTGCTGTCCTTCCTCCCATTCATTTAACTGATATACAGATCTAAGAGTCATTCTATATTCAAACTCTCTTTACATGCACAATACTTCTCTTTTTACACACACACATACACAATACACACTGTCTTTACACACACACAAAATACACTGTCTTTACACATACAATACACTCCCTCCATCAAGCCTATCTATACGTATAATGATGATACAAAGGACTGGTTTGAAATACTCAAACTGGATGAGTGGATTTGGGGTATCTGACATCACACTGGAAGGAACAATACAGGAAAAATTACCGTGGCCTGCAACCGATTCACAATAAGAGGGAACGTGAGTGATGTACTGTACTGTATCAAATGACCCCAAGAATCCCCCAGTTAATACCAATGACAGTAGTCCCTCATAGTGTTATGAAGTATCAAGAGACATTATTTAAAATCATGTGGAAGACAAACATCATAACTATCAGGTCCTTACCCGAGTTGCCATCTGTTGAGGTGTGGGTTTCTGGACTACAGTCTTCCGCATCTATAACAAGAAGCAAAATTTCGTCACATTAAGAACCTCCACATCTACAAGGCCAAATTTCATCACATTAAACCAGGGTAATAGTTGTCATCCTGATCATGCTTCCTAGCCACACAAGACTTATTCAACTGGTGTCCGAGAGAGTTTTAACTGTTTCTATAATATAATCACCATTGGTCTGACTGTAACAAAAAGAGTTATTAACCCAGCTTAGTTACCCACAGACCTTGATCCATAGTCTTTGTAACTCTGTAACCCTCAGCTACTTCCTTATCCCCTTGTTAAATATTCTAGTCCCCTTAATTTCTTCTTCCTTTCCTCCTTTTCTATGTTCCAATCCCACCCTTTTCATTTCAATTCAACTCCCTAAAACATCTTACACAACCACAATCTAGTTATCAGTACCAAGACAATACAGAGGCTTGATGATAAACCACAGATATCTAACACAATGATAAGAGAAATAGCTCATTACCTTAGTGAGTGTGTATTTATGGTACTCTGCCTGAGAGGTTGTAGGAGGGGCGTGTGCGTACAGGAGTTTGCCATTCATGTAGTCTTTCAGGATGTAGCGGGAAGACCGTGGGTTGTCGGGAAGACCTCGTTGGGTCATATACCCTCGCATCACTAACACGTGGAAAAAACAAAACATTAGGCACTATATTACAACTTTATAGGAGGATAAACTGAAATATTCACTGTTAGGAATAGAAATTACCTTATTACATGTAGAGAGAGACCGCCCATGGCTAACACATGGAGAGAGAGGGTAAGGACTATCTATGTACTGAAGAACCCTCCTATTAAGTGAACATAATCAGAAGAGCTACCTAGTGACAGTGGGCATTTTAAGACAGAAAACTGAAGTACGGTGGAATGAAAATCAAGGGAGGCTTATTGAGTTTAAAACCCTTGTAGTGATTCCTGTGTATAAGGATGATGCCAGCTTGAATGGGTTTGTCAATAAATAAAATATAAGACTTGATCAATGGGTAAAAAGAGACACTTGCACTATTACTTACACCCATATGCATTTAATAGTTCTTCTGATGTTGGTGGTCTTTGTGGGTCTTCTCCTTCTAAGGGAGGAGGAAGGGTAATACCATACATGTTCTCAAATACTTCTCGTGGGATCTGGCTGGCTACAAGGTTGACTGGAGGGACTTCATCTCGCATCTGTGCAAATTTAACACCAAGACAAAAAATATTAGTCAACACATTTACAGAAAAGTTTATAAATCAATCAATAATTATCTTCATATTCTCACAGCTAAATCCTATTCAATACCACTAAGAGCCGATAGTAAGCAGTAAAACAAGAGGTCTAACACAATATTTTGATGACTATTTACCTGATCAATTGGTAGAATGCCCGAGATGATCATTTCCTGCTTGGTGGCCACAAATGCTGGGAACACTAACCCAGGACAGTCACATAACAGTATATCATCAGTTAAAAATAAAGTCTGGAAAGAAAACACATTGATCAGAGGTAAACATAGGTGTTCCTTGGCCCCTATCCTGCCTCAATGCAAAACCTATACGTATTATATATCTTTTGGAGTTTTAAGTTACATAACGAGGGAGAAAATGGAAGTGGTTTGTTCATTACACCTTTACAATCAAACAATGCTAACACAGGAACATATTGCAGTTTAGATTACATGATAAAGATGAAACTGTTTTAATATATCTCAACATAAGGTTTTGTTTTCAATTTTTGAAAGTACTGTCCATTAACACATTGGGTTCAAGGCGGGAAAGGTGGAACAGTACATAAAAGGGTGAAGAGCGGAGGAGATGTTAGGAACAGAAGGGACAAAGAAGATATGTAGTGACAGGGATAAGCTGGAGCCTCTTCTGTTATGGCTACCCACCTAGAGGCAGAGAAGTCATAGATAAGATATAAAAGATATAAATAAAACAATATTAATACCTGGAAATGCTTGGTCTTCCCTGGAGTGGCTGACACAGATACTTTCTTCTCCTGCATGAGGCAATTGATGGTGGAGCTCTTGCCAACGTTGGGGTAACCTACCAGCCCTATCGTGACTGACTTATCCAGTACTCTTTTCTTGGTATATATTGTACGGAAGACTTCCATCAATTCGCTTCTGCTTAGCATGCGACTTGATGTTGTAAAGGTGGAGGTGGTAGAAGGTTGTGAGGGTTTATCATCGGCTTCTACTGGCAAAGCAGCTTGTTCACCGTCAGAGGTGGTGTCTGTCGTTGTCTTGACACTTGAATTTTCTTTTAGCTTGGCAGATAAGTTTTCCAAATCTTGACGACATTCTTCCACATTCAGGTCCTGATTATCCTCTCTGTCTGTTAGTTCCTCCTCCTCTTCTGTTTCACTGTTAGTTTTCTCCTCCTCCTCCTCTTTAATAGCGTCAAGCTCCTCCCCATTTAGTGCTGAGAAGAACACAGCTTTTATGTCCTTCTGCCTGAAGTACTCTGCCCACGCTTCTCTCTGGGACTCTGTTAGAAAGTCTGATTTATTGATCAGCAGAAGATTATCTTTGTCAGGGTTCACCTCTTTGACGTAAGCCTCCAGGTCCTCACAACGGAAGAGCAGGGGATTGCGAGAGTCTAGGATCTGGACCACAACATCGCTGAGAAGAATAGGAACATAATATAACACAATCATCTCTGAACTTAAGTCTATAGCCATTTTGTATATTCTCAATCTCTCTCAACAATATATCTATACAGTATATAAAAAAGGGGTTTATCTTATTTGAGGTTACTGTGCTTCTTGATTCCTCCTATATGAATCAGACAGAAAACAGTAAAGAAAACTACATACAGTACAGTACCTCTTTTCTATAACTCTCCACAACTGTCTCCAAAATTCCAGGTTCTTCTCGAAAGGTGTGAGAGTTATGCCGTCTACCTCCTGCAGCTGGGACAGGTTTCTACGCCAGGAGAGAAAGCTGTCTCGTTCTGCCTCGGCCAACTGCTCTGCTGTGGTGGTTATGTTCCACGGTGGCCTGGTGATACAGACATCAGAAACCCATTGCAGTCACTGGTCAGCACTAAATCACCAAACACATCGTGAATTTTTATATATCACTACTGAAAAGACCATAAGTACAATATATAGTATTACTGAATAAATTTTTAGCCATAGTCTTCATCAGGAACCAATCAACATCCACCAATACCATGAACTTTGACACAAGTTTAACCTCACTTCAAATTGAAACTCCTTGGACACTTGAGAATTCAGTAGGACACATGTCAATTTTGACCCGGGGATTCAGAACCTCCCAAAATCCTAAGCTGTCAAATATCTTGATCAGATAAAGACGGATAATTCTCCACAAGCAATTAAAACATAACAAGATCTCACTTCAAGATGGCCAGTTCAAGCAAAGACCCCAGTCAACGAGGTCAACTCTCTCGTAGTGCACAGTACCTGCGTGGGATGCCGAGAAGCTCCCTGTTGGCGTCCTGGGCTTCCTGTATCTTCTTTTTCTCCTCGTCCGTCAACATTCCAGCTATTATGGTGGGACGCACAAAATTCATGTTCAGCTTTTCTGCCTGGAATAAATATATAATAACTAAGGAGATGCTACATAGGGTAAGTGCTTGCATACAGCAGCTTGTATCTTAATACTGTATATACATATGCATACAAAATGCATTATTAATGCATGAAGTAACCAGAGAATGGCATTTGTCATGTACACAGGGAAAAAGTAAAGTATAAGTGTGAAACAATATGACACGATAGATGATTCTTATTGATCATTTCATAATACATCGCACCCAGCTGAACACATACTTTTTTACCATGTGTACTTGTGTATTGCAAAATATACATAAAGTTGTCATATAAACAATCACTTTATCACTTTGTATTAGTTAACACAGAACATTACTACAGCACTTACATTATACTCATACTAAGTGAAGATTTTTATGTTTCAATTAAATTTTATAATAAAGTATAAAAATATTCAATACTGAAATACATAATAACTGGACCTTACTGCAAACTCTGTCCCTGCCAGTTCAGCTGTTGCCAAAAATTCTTCGATATGTGTCTGGTCTGTGACTGACTGAAAGTTGATGCGATTCCAGTCTTGGCCATCTTCAAGTTCTGATGTGTGTAGCTGTAGGTGATGATAATGTTACTTTAATACACATATAACAATAATACAGACCATATTACTCAAATTTCATAATATTTCATAATATTTCCAGTATATAACTCAAATAACATTTTATAATAGTAAAAAAGACCAAGAGACTCACCAATGAATTCCCAGATCTGTTCTTCTTACCAAATCTGTCCTTTATTATACTCCGTCCCAAGCTTGAGGTCTGAGGTCCCTTCTTACCCATTATTAATATCAACTAACACTCAAGGTACTCCACACAGACAGTATTACAGTAATGGCGCAATATATACCCCCTCAAGGCTTGTCAACGTGTTGTGAGTGGCCACCATAACACAACAGCCTGGAGGACCTGTTCTCCTGCACCAGTCGTCTCTTTAAGTAATGGCTATCATCGTCTTTTTAGGAAATTATCTGATCTCACGTTAATAAAAATGGGAATCTGGTATACGGTTTATTATTATTTAGGTTTAGGGTATTTTATGTCTGTTTTTTGTTGTTTTCAGCCTCAAAAGTTAAGTGTAGTACATTTTGCTTTCACTTGCTCCTGGCGTATGTACTTTGGGATATTTTTGTATTTAATTTCCCTATTAGCCATATTTAGGACTTTTTCGTATACTACATAGACTGCATGTTTTGTACAGTACAGTATATCTTCCACGGGTGTTATTTTCTTAATATGGCTGTCTCTGATTAAGAGACAATAGTACATGACCAGCATAATATGTCAAGTACTTGAGAGTATTATCAGAGATGCTGCAATGGAACACAGCTTTATGCCGGGGCACTACTACTTAACACAATTGCTCAAGGTATTGGATATTTGAACCCATATTCTGGAACTGGGTGGTAATATCGACAATATTTACCTAGGTTTTGCCAAGGCTTCCGACAGTGTACCCCACGAAAGGCTGAAAATCAAACTGGAAGAGTACGGAATTCAGAGAACGTCCTAGCGTGCATAGAAGACTTTCTACATGACCGCAAGCAGTGTGTGGTGATTAATGGCACGAAATCATCATAAGTACCTGTCACAAGTGAGGTACCACAGGGCAGTGTATTGGGCCCGCTGTTGTTTGTTTGTTTCATAAATGACATGCCTGACATTGTACACTCCTCCATACAAATGTTTGCCGATGACGCCAAGTTATTTCGGGAAATAAAGAACCAAGCGGACTGTGAAGAACTGCAGAAGGACCTCTGTGGTCTCCAAGAATGGTTGAAGAAATGGCTGCCGAGATTCAATGTCACGATGTGTAAGAGAATGCACCTGGGGCGTACCAACAGGCAGGAGGCGTATTATATGTCCTAACGGGATGAAGAAACTGCACTATTTTGGACTGATTGTGAGAAGGACCTAGGTGTGTATGTTGACAATGAGCTGAAGTACTGGGCCAATGCAAGAAGAAGGTAAATCAAGCAAATAAATTATTGGGTCTTATAAGAAGGTCGTTCAGATATCTAGACGGTCCGTCCCTCGTAACGATCTTCAAAAGTGAAGTGCTTCTCCATCTGGAGTACTGTCACCCCCTCTGATCCCCGAGATATGCTAGGGACTGTCAGTTGGTTGAAAATGTTCAAAGGAGGGCCACCAGACTGGTGCCTGTACTTTGGCACCTCAGCTACCCTGAGAGATTGGAGCACCTGAACTTGCCTAGCTTATACTACAGACGGGCAAGGGGTGACCTAATTGAGGTGTATAAGCATCTCAAGGGGCACTACTCAGTCGAGTGTCCTTACTTGGAGCTGGCGGACGCTCGCCCCACAAGGGGTCACAGCTCAAGATTGAAGAAGTTGCAAGTCCAGAAAACTGTGAGGGCAAACTTTTTCGGAGTGAGGATTGTAAACTCTTGGAACAATCTACCAGAAAGTGTTGTGACGGCACCGAGTGTGAGCTCTTTTAAGACAAGACTTGACCTACACTGGAGCGGGTTCAGGTACATTCAATAGCCGATGCACGCCCAGTACCTGCCAACAGTACGTAAGAGAGACGTGACTGATCGCCCAAGTGGCTAACGAGCCGATCTTTTGGTGAAAAGGATAAAAGAAAAAGTAAAAGTTTACTTCACCAGACCCAGTACTATTGGAAATGTGATCTACTGGGATTTTATCCTGTAATACAGGGTATTATATTGTGTGATCATTGACAAATCATTGACCATATTTCTAGGGTCTATCAATTTCTTGAGGAGCACCAAGCATCATTCCTCTAATACATCCAAGTGGCAAGCATCTCAGAAGACACATTGTTAAGTACAACTTGACCATTTCAGTTAACACCACAATAGTGGACAGTGTACCAGTATTGTATATCTTTATTATTGTGCACAAGAAGGTGCCATACTGTGATAAGTGACTCTTTTGGTGGAAAGAGTTCCTCACAGAAGTACAGTACTGTAAAGTATTACTTGTATGACTTTTGGCTGTTGCAGAGTTTGTAATAAGAAAATTGCAAAGGGAGTCACTGGTGCAGCACATACAAATAAAGATAGACTGAAATTTAGGTTGAGAAAATAAACGAGTCAAATGGTTTATGCTGGTTTATTTGCACAAGGTTACCCCATGCAGCAGTATTACAGAAGTTGTAGGTCATCAGTGTCACAGGACATCGGTGGAGTAATGGGAGGAGATATTGTCCAAACAATGAGAGGGAGTGATAGAGACGACTCATCTTATAATGGTAGTTGCTTGGGCACTGTGAGAATACGGTTCTCTTCCCATTAGTCAATCACCAACTGCACAGGAAGGATACACCCTCAAATTGAGCTACATGGGTCAGCACTGAATGACTGAAGCCATTGAAATGCCTTAAAGAGCTCCGAGGACATTACACATCTTCCACCTCAGAGAATAGTTTATCTTCTTTACTACTTGTCAGCTTATTAGCCAGCCAAGTGACATGCCAGATCGGAGTGTATCCCAGCTGAATGTGAGCCAAGATGATATTAGGTTTGTGATCCTTATGCCAACACAGTTGGTACTTATTGTTATATGGGAAGGAAAATGCCTAATCATAGTGGTGAGTGGATAGACTGCCACATCTTTTCCTAAGACCACACAGGAGGGAGGGTGTTGGTCCAGCATCATGGGGCATAACCTTTTAAAAGCTGAATTTTATTTAAATTTCATCTATTGCCAGACAGGAAGGTTCATTCTCCTACAATGTGTACGGATTACCAAGTGTGTTCTCGCCATGTCTCGGCCTTTTTTTATGGACCCATGAATCCCTTGCTCTGAGGATGTCCAGCTTAGCCAAAAAGGTCTTCAAAGTGATGGTTGTCACTGATGGCAGCACCTTACCTGTGTAATGGTTATCTCCCATGTCAATTTCCAGAAAATTATGACGGTAATTATTTGCAGTATCTTTCAGCATAATGAATAACTAAAATAGAATCCCCATCACACACAAAAATAATTAATCTACTAATATATTCACATCTGTAATTTGTGTATCTCTAAAACTTGTAAAAATAAATTGTGGTTTTGGAGATAGTGTATTGTACAGCCCCTTAACCCAATACTGTACTGTACTACTGCTACTAACTACTGTACAATGAAAAGTGATCTCTACAGCTGTCTTACAACTCATTCTCAGGGAACTGAATACAGTATTGCTCAAAAGGTCTAAATTACAGTACAAGATTTAGTAATAATGAAATTACCTGTATATTCTGAAGTTAAAGCTTCCTAGTGATGGCTACTGTGATGAAACAGAGCAGCTTTCCTATCAAAGATGTCACACACAAGTTTTTCTTGAGTTTCCATACTTTATTGACTCGCTTTTGACTTGCCCTTAAAATTTGAATAAAAAAAAAAGACAAATAACAGATTATCAAGAATTTTAATGAAACCTGCAACTGACAAGTTGTTTACAAGAACCATATATAAGTACTTTGGTAAAATAAGTACAATACTGTACTGAGATGTACGTACATCACTTGTACATAAAAATACTTTGTACTCATGAAAAGCACTCTACTACTCCAAGCGTGATTGCAATAAACTATAATATATCAACATGCATTTTTTGTACCATGTACAGTATATACCAAATAAAGTCATTCTTTAATTCTGGCAGTGAGACTAAACAATCAATATATAATGTGCCAGTTAAGCATCAAACTACTCTAGTAATACAGTACAGTACATCAATCAGAACATTTAAGTAACACTCCTAAGTGTATATTTTTTTTTTTTTTTTACAAATTAAGTAATATAAGTAAAAAGAAAATAATTTGCCAAATGAAGCTTGTTCGTTTCTCTTACAAGCAAGAGGAACACTGGCCAGGTATTCAAGGCACTGCTTAGTATCAAGGAACTACTGTAGTACACTGAGACAAATGTTAAACTTAACATTTCTCATTATGAGAAAATGACAAAATAAAAAACTCTTGGAAGATAATACTCATAGCCTTCACCCTTAAAAGTGATGCTCCCTTAGGAAGACAAAATGTTTGAGACCTAAAGATAACCTTGGGCAGGGTGTGCGGCTCATGTGCCTTCACTGTAATACAATGAAGGAATACGAGGTTGGATAAGATTATTAGGGCAAGCTTATGGAAGTTTATGTGTTAGTAACTTGCATCTTAGGAAGCATTTTGCATTAAACAGTAGCTAACCTACATGGGATTTAGTACAGTACAAGTCCTACTGAGCCACTTGAAAGCAGCAACAAACATTAAGTACACAAGCAACAATCAACGCCACCCCATCAAATGATAATATTAATTACTATATTACTGCACAAAACACTATAAATGTATCATTGGCTAATAGTATATAAAGATTATTATTTTGATATATTCCAAATTTTTCAGGTTTTAACATTATGCTTTACAGGAGAGAACATAGGGTTTATATTCTAATTTTTTAAATGGTTATAAGCTTAAGGGTGTCAGCTCAATATTTAGTAATTAAGTTAACTGCAAATTACAGAGATTTAATGCTTAGTCTGAGTTTACGCAACAAATATGGTCAATGGTTACCATGATTAGCCATGTCCAGAATGAACAAACACAGTATATTGTATAATCAGTTAGTAACATTTATTTACTTATGCTAAGCCTTCTCATTTATTTAGAGTAGAAAGCAAACAGGAATATTGGAAAACAGGGAGGGAATGAGGGAGAGGGCCTGGGGGGGTCCTTCCCCAAACTAGGACTTACCCTGTATATGTTACCATCATGTTTGACTCTTGTATGAGTTTATAGGACTTAGGACTCTGTTTTACGGGATGTCAAGATATTCTCAAGGTTTTCTCTCGTTACTAAAAAAACAAGATGTATAGTTTCGCTTCAATAGATGACGTCAAATTTGCCTGTTGGCTGGTTGAAATGTAAAGGCTGTGTACACTGCAATTATTACAAACATGTTGTCTATTCTCAATATATTTACTCAGAATGGCTACTACAGTACTTCCATTACCTCTATTATCACTATTTCATGTTTACAATGTCAACAAAACATGAAATAACTGGAAAGGAGAAAATAATTCACTTTATTATTAGATCAAGTTAGGTTAGGTTAGCTCAAGTCTGGTTAGCGTAAGTTAAGGGATTACGTGGCACTTCAAGTAATAACTATTAATCCACATTTTGGGAATATTATTAATTTCCAGCGTAAACAGAAGGAAAAAAAAATGATAACTCGGATGTAGACAAAATGGGAATAAACCTCATACTGCTTATTTCAACTGCCTTAACATATAAACCACACATCTCAGCACACACTATGGGTACAGTACATATATTAAAAATATATATACATGTACACAAAAGCATGCACAAAACTGAGAACACATCCATATCAATATCTTTGTACAGTACAAGCATATTTTCATGTGTGTATATATGAATGTGTGTGCATAGGTAAGTAGGTGTAAATGTATCTGTGTATATACGAGTATGCATGTACAGTATGTACTGTGTAAGTGTACATATATATTTAAGTCTAAATGAGTACAGTACTGTATGTATATATGTATACATTACAAACACACCTTTATGAGTGTGATTAAAAGTACAGTAGGTGTATACAGTGTACAGTATAGTGAAGTACTGTATATGTATGTATGTATGTATGTATGCATAAATCATAAGTATATACACACACAGACATAAAAATCTATTAGATAATCAATTGAACAGCACTTTGTTGGTATTAATTAAAGTTTCTCATAAAAAAGCTAATTAATATATGGTTAAGCGGGAGTGTGGCAGGCATCATCAGCAATGGTCTCTCTGATGGTGTCTGGAGTGGGTAGGGAAGGGTAAGAATGATAACTCTTAGCCTTCAACCAAGCCCAAGATTATCTTCTTGAAGTCTCCGGAAATGTCGCTCTGGATAATGAAACACCGCAGGTCATTAAAAATCTGTCCTTGCAGATAATCAAAAGAAGAAGTTAAAAGGAAAATAATGTATGTGTATTCATAACCCCTAGGCTCCAATAAGAGCCAGCAGCAACTTCTTGTAGTCTCCTGAAGTGTCACCCTGTAAAGATGGGAGGGAGTTTGAGTACACTAGCCATGCTCTTATACACTATCTGAGTTATCTGATTAAATTCGGCCATCTCTAATATGCTAACTCTGTAGGGAACATGTAATAATCCCCTATTTGCCGACGGAGACCTCAAGGCATGAAGTATTGCCTCTTAAGGTCTAGTATGGGACATATCTAAAGAGTATCAAGCTTAGTGTATCTGGGTTATTAAAGACAGTAAGACAAGACAGCTATAATAATGAACCTTCTATTAGTATGAGAAACAGAAGAAGAGAGAAGGGAAGATTAAGTGGGAGGTGAGGTAAGAGGAGTGAGAGAGAGGAAGACTAGGTGGGAGGTGAGGTAAGAGCAGTGAGAAGGGGGAAGACTAGGTGGGAGGTGAGCTAAGAGGAGAGAAGGGAAGATTAAGTGGGAGGTGAGGTAAGAGGAGTGAGAGAGGGGAAGACTAGGTGGGAGGTGAGGTAAGAGGAGTGAGAGAGGGGAAGACTTAAGTGGGAGGTAAGAAAAGAAGAGTAAGGGTGTGTGTGTGTATGTATGTGTGTTTGAACAAGATAACATAACCGTTGGGATTTTAATGATAAGGTTTTCTCAAAAAATTGTCTAAATATACAAGTCATAACTCATTCAAAAACTAACTAATAAATGCCAATACTGATCCTTCCCTAACTTACATAAATATTCTACTCAATATAAAACTTAAACATTAACAAAAGTGGCTAACAAATTATAAAACCAGAGTTGTCCTAATTTTCTATAACTTTGACTCCATGCAAAATTTGGTTAAGATTTGTGAGTATTTCAAGACAACAAGATTACGACGATGGAGACAATCTTGACTCCAGATCCATTTCGAGTCACTTCTGGTCTTGATCGAATTTATCTGAATGTTTTAGAAAGATCCGGAAAAAAGGACACATGAATAAGGCAGAAATACGTATGTGTCATTAATGTATATCTGACAAGCAAGAGGAACAAACCTAACACACTCTTCTACAGGATAACACTTAATACTGACAAGCAAGAGGAACAAACCTAACACACTCTTCTACAGGATAACACTTAATACTGACAAGCAAGAGGAACAAACCTAACACACTCTTCTACAGGATAACACTTAATACTGACAAGCAAGAGGAACAAACCTAACACACTCTTCTACAGGATAACACTTAATACTGACAAGCAAGAGGAACAAACCTAACACACTCTTCTACAGGATAACACTTAATACTGACAAGCAAGAGGACCAAACCTAACACACTCTTCTACAGGATAACACTTAATACTGACAAGCAAGAGGACCAAACCTAACACACTCTTCTACAGGATAACACTTAATACTGACAAGCAAGAGAACCAAACCTAACACACTCTTCTACAGGATAACACTTAATACTGACAAGCAAGAGGACCAAACCTAACACACTCTTCTACAGGATAACACTTAATACGGACAAGCAAGAGGACCAAACCTAACACACTCTTCTACAGGATAACACTTAATACTGACAAGCAAGAGGACCAAACCTAACACTCTTCTACAGGATAACACTTAATACTGACAAGCAAGAGGAACAAACCTAACACACTCTTCTACAGGATAACACTTAATACTGACAAGCAAGAGGACCAAACCTAACACACTCTTCTATAGGATAACACTTAATACTGTAGACCAATTAAACCAGAATCCATTTATATTTACTCTTGGCTTTCGATCATTTAACAGATGTGATCCAATGCTGTGATTCCCTCAGTAAACCTTAATTGCAGTACTAAGTAGAAACTAATGCTGAGTAATAAAGCCTCAAACTGTATCAATATATTCTGCTCTATCTTTTAATTCCAAATCATTAAAATTTTAACAAATTTCTGGTTACATTCTTGAAAATTATATCCATATTGAAATACAGGGTGTCCATAAATGATTACCCTGATTAAAACATGAGAGCATATTGTTTTAGGGTAATCATTTATGGACACCCTGTAGATTGAATTTGTTAACTAACCTGGATGTCTTTTTCCAGGGGTTTGTTGTAGAGTTTCTGATATTCTTGCTTGATGTTGCCCATATCTATCTCAGCACGGGAGACCACCAGCCGGATGAGTGCCCGGTCATTTGTGCCCATGCCTGCCATAGTATCATGCAGCGCCTTGGCAAAGTATCCAGCACGGTTCTGGATGGTGTAGTCTGTCACAGGAGAAAACATTCACTTGTATAGTATGTAACAAGGAAATAAAATGGTGGTATGAACCCCAGTCAAAACACTTAGTTAAACAGGAGCCATAACTCAGGTGAATCAAGTTGCAACATTGCAAATTGAAGCTAGTCAAAATATTCTTGACATGAAACTGTACTATATATAATTTTGATTTATATTGACTTTCTTAATTTACCTAATGGAAAAAAAAATTAATGTAGACTGAGAGATGGACAGAGAGAACAATAAAAATAGTATGTTACAAAATAAGAAAATGCAGATTTGGTTAGCTCTTAATGGCAAGGGTTAATAAAATGTACTTACAGACTGCCTTCATGCCAATTTTCAAGTCACCAGAGAGCTCAGAATCCAGGGCATCTCCAAAACTCTTTCCCTTGATCTTGGCGTACTCCTCGAACACACAGCGCAGTAGAGGGTAAGAATAAGAAGATAGGATACGATTGAATTCCCCTTCATCAGTTCCCATCTTCCCTTCACCTGAAAAATATTAATTGTGAAAATAATACAGACAGTCAAAACAGAGTTATAAGTTTCCTACTAGAGGTGACCAAGCTGCTGGATTAGAGTTAATTCTATACTGTACCGACATTTACATACTGTACTGGAATATAATAGTTCATAGTAACAAGTTGTATAAGAAGTTTAAGATGTGTGAGCAGTGTCTGATTCTACACTGACTGGATGCTCAGCAGTTGTCACCAGTTGTACAGTAGAGGCAAGCAGGAGCACTTACTCTCACTCAGCTGAATCTTGTCGAGTCCAAGTTTTTAAATAAAGTTTAAGTTTTTGTTAGTTAATTATTATTACAACATTACACTACTAACTAACCTGCTTTATACAGCTGCTGTGCGAGGGTGTTAGCCAGGGCAGGGTCGTGGTTCCTCTCATCCCTGCTGCACGCACACATGGAGATAAGGAGACGTCGGAAGTCTCCCGAGACGTCTCCACAGAGGGCCTCCTCCAGCCTCTTGCGGTAGTGATGCTGATAGGTATTCTTGATTTCCCTGAGGGATAGGCAGACTAAATGTATTAGCAATGTTTACTTTTCTAGTGTGTACCATATAGGTGATGCTCGTTATGACATAAAACTTTACCCTCATTACTTTTGTTGATTAGCCATTAATTTCCTAAATAAAAAAAACAATTATTAATCATTATTTAATTAATTTACAATTAACTGTGATCCTATAGCCCTCATTGGTACAGTATCAACCAATAAAAACATAACGAACATGAAAACTCACAAGAGAGAAGCGTTATCCCTAGTACACAGGATCTCCACCAGGGTCCTCTCGTTGGTGCCGATTCCGCTCATGGCCGCCTGCAGCTCGTGGGCCAGGTAGAGGGGCAGCGGTGTCATCAGGGCAATGATCCCATCCTCGAACTTGCCACTCAGTTCACCCTTCAAGTCCTTAATCAAGTCCTGCCCATTCAGAAAATATAATAAATACCTAATAAATATTCATTTCTCAGCTAAATCCTGTCTATTCATAAAGTATATAACATATTAATTACTTAGCTAACTCACACTATACATAGCCAAAATTTTCCAAACCTAGGGATTTATTAATTACAATTTATAAATTAACTGATCATCAAAGTCTACTTGTACAAAATTTCTGACTGGACCCAAAAGTACACTCCTAATAAATTTTAAGACAGAGCTATACAGGTACTGTATTAGATAAGAACAAAATGTCTAATTTTATCTACAACCTTAAATAATTATCAATTATAGCCACTACTTCTTCAGTTGCTAAGGTTTACAGATGTACGGCATCTGCATTAAAAGGTTGAAGCCCAGTACTGTTCTTGCTTCCGTGGCTTCAACTGGTATAGACTGTTCCATAGGTCTACCACCACCTGTGTGAAATACTACTGTACTTCTTCACACAGAGGCTGGTAGACCTATGGAACTGTCTACCAGGTCAAGCTGTGGACTATAGCTTACATTATTTAAGCAATTATAACAAATGAGGCAAATTTCAGTGACTTGGGAGATGAAATTGTCCAAGATTGAGTAAATTATCTTTTTTTCTTCATATTTTAGGTAATTAAGATTAGGATTAACTGAAGATTAGACACCCTAGATTATTTTGTGATGATTAAACGCTCTAAATAAACTTAATCTCTCTAGGTAGTGTTAAGGTGTTTAACCATCAGGTGAAATAATGTGGGGTGCCTCATCTTTTAAAGGTGATCCAAAGATTGTGTGACAGGATTACTTGAATTGGTCCACATGCCAGTTTGGTGAGACTAACAGTTCAATATGACAGTCCTGATGCTACATACAATTCTTAACTTAAATATGATGCATTTGCTGATACTGTACTGTACCATCATTTAGCCGCTTGCATGAGCTTTGTGCCGACTTCTGTGCAGGACAAAAGCTTAACAAATAAGCAAGGTAATGCTTTTTGGGGGGGGCTGTTTTATGTAAGTTTTATAATGGCAATGTTTATATGAGAATAATTCTTTTTAGTTTGCGAGTCAAATTCTAAGTCAATTTATTAAAAGACTTAAGGTTAATTTATGAGAAAAGGTAAAAAACCTAATATTAAATTTAACTGCCAGTAACAACTACAAGAAACTTTAAAAGAAACCATGAGAAGTAGAAACCTCAAGTCTCACAATGTTGACTAACAAAACACCTCTTAAATATCATGTTAATAATCAGTCACACTAAAACAAGTTACTGAACCAAATACACTTAAACAGAATAACAAATTGAAGCCTATAGGGAGGATTCTATCACTGCCTGTTAATGCAAATGGATGGTGGAACTTCAGGCACGTAGAGAGGCTTCTAAGCCACTCGGTGCAAGAGGAGCAAATTAGTTTTATTGTCCAAAAGCTTGAAAAACAACTATGAAATGAAATGACTAACTGCAAAAGCAAAATAAACTTAATATCTATACAGTATTCAGCGTAAAAACAGAATATGTAGTGACCTGTACAAATATCTCTATATCAAAGAGACTTAAAACTACTGTACGTATAATGAAAAAATCTGGAAAAGACAATTACTGTACAGATTACCATAAAAGAATGGGAGTAATAATTTGTAAGATAATTGTAAATCATATATCAACACTAAAATAATAATCAATTCTTCCATTACTTCTCCAATAAGCCATTAAGAGCCCAAACCAACAACTACATCAGGGTAACTTCTACTTGTCAATACATAGATCAACTCAGGACTTACCAATAAATAGTATTGTACTAATTAGATAAATTTCTGTAGTCACTTTTATCTATCCATCCTTCCACAAGCTACCAATCATATCACACTCCAGTTATGTTTTTAGTACTGTAAATTTTTTTTTTTAACTTAAGAGAAACCTGAACAGACTAATAATGAATTCTTTGGCCTCTTTTTGACACCAAGACACTACCCAAGTGTTTTCTTAAGCACAGTATCTAAGACGTGTATTTACAATGACTACTTGACGCAGTCACAGCAAAGGCGGGGTCATCAGCAAATAGCAGTTCACTCCATATCACTGTATTATGACTTCTTTAGCCATGTTAATAAAAACATAGGGTGCGTTTACACCTGGGTCTCAATCGGACATATTCTGATACAAATTTTCCGAGTTTAGCCTTGGGGGGAATATGACTAAACTGTCTGACAATTTGCATCAAAATACATCCGATTCCGGCCTTGGTGTGAACGCGCCCTTAGTCTCATTGGTCAAAGCTCCAACCACAACTTACCCAAACACAATAAGCAACACAATTAGTACAGCTGAGGCATTAATGAACCAAAATATCTTAATTATATCACTGATTATCACAACACATGCTGGAAAGTCCTAAAAAAAAAATATGTAAAGCAGGATTTTCTACAACATAGAATTTAGGCGTGACTGAGTCTTATCCTCCTGTGCCATCGTGTCAACAGCCTCAATACTATGGTCTATTGTCACATGACTTACAGTACAGTATTTATAAACCATATTAATGTCCATGAACTGTGCTTGTGGTTGTTAAAGTACATATTCTGGTTAAATTCTGTCTTACTTGGATTATTACATTTCTATTCACAGTGTGTATGTTGTTATACTGTTAATATCAAGACACACACCATCTATAAGCACTGCAACACACACTCACAGGGTCTCAATTCACTGCAGTTAACCCCAAATTCCAATAGTGCACTGAGAACTTCACAACTCAATTATAAAAGAAATCTGTGTATAATTTCTCCACAAATAAAGTCAAGCTAGTAATATAGGTTGAATGGCGCTGTCACCTCAGCATGTCTTAACACTGAACCACTGTGATATGCACAGTGTACCCATCAGGTAATAATCTTTTAACTAATATGATTCATAACACTAAGTCATAATAAATCATGTCTCACTTAACGATACATTCAGTAACTATAGATTACAATGATGTTGCCTTACCCAAACAAGAGTAAATGTTCACTACTGAACCCTCTAAGATGTACAGAATTTGGAAGAGGATTAATTTATTATCACCCCCAATATATTCTTACAAGCTCTTTCCCACCACTATTGTCTGTCTATTACAGGTACAGTACAGTATAGTATATAAAATAAGTGATGTCTACACTCTTGTGATGCACTACTGTGATAGTGAGAACAGCAAAGTGGATACAGTTTTGGCAATTTACATTACTGTACTGTACTATTCTAACATTCCTTTGCATTGGCCTAGAAACAAATAAGAGAAATTAACATGTGCATCATACCAGATCTTGTATCAGAGCAAACAACTTAAAAAACTGTGTTCTTTTTCCCTTAAGGTTTAAGAGTATCAACAAGATAATCATCAACACCATTTTACAACCATTTCCCACACTTGAGCGGGTTAACCATGATTGCTTGATGGCAGCTCTCTATGCTGTGCAGTCTCTTGCATCAGGTTATTACTGTACTATTCACAACCTCTCTCCTAGTCATTCTTGGCCTCCCTCATGCATCTCTTGACCCAAATGATCTCCTCCATTCTCTCCATGTACCCAAATCATCTATGACCATTTCTATGCAAAACTCCACCATTCATGGTTCCTCTAGGTAAGGAACTGCTTTGCATCACAATGCCTCACCCATCTGGATAATGTACACAAGTGGTTAATGACCTGAAGGCTATAAAAATAATTGCAAACATATGAAGGGAACATCTGAGTTACTCTTGTTTCCAGCTACCTTGCAATAGTACTGGGACAGAGCTTGCAATCTTTGATCATCTTGCATTACTATTACTCAAATACACCCTTTTATCTATCTGTAAATTACAATGTGCAATAAGAAAGAAGACCTTAAAATATTCTACAAATGACTGAAGAAGCTCATGCATTTTCCAGTATTCTTTACCTGTACAGTAATGAACCTGTGACAAATGAGAGCTACAACTAGGTACTGAAGGTGAGTCCAACATTACTCAGAGATAACATTTGTCCTTAAGCTACACATACAGTAGCTACCAAGATTTCAGAGAGAGAATATTAAGGAAAGATTTTCAACATTTTTTCAAGTGTGAGTCCACCACAAAGAGAACTAAAACACTAATATTAATAACTCCTTCATGATCTGCAACAATAAACCAAAAGAAAATAAACACTACTTTCAATACATTACGGTAAGTTTAACCTCACGAAAAACTCTCATACATCACGGTAAAAAATACACCCTTGAAAAAATGTTGAAGCTTCAAACTGTCCCATGGCATGTGATGTAAATACCAGAGAGAGACAAAAAAAAGAGCTCACAGCCCCAGAGCATCATGCAGGGGGAGTAGCTATGCAGAGGTCCACAGTTTGCACAGACGGAGAAGATGGTGCGTGAACCGTATCAGTGACTTACCCCGGTGAGGTTTTTCTTAGTGTCGTCTCCCTTCTCCTCCTCCTACATCGCAGATGAGGGGAAACACAAAAACACGGATAAACAGTAAACAAAGGACACAAAACAACTCTGGGCCTCTCACACATACAACACACACCCTCCAACCTCCTATACATCTTGTTACTGTATTTCTCTGATCTCACAACTTATACAATAATAATTTTGCTTTACATTACACTTACACTGTACAATTTAATATCAGGTTAGTACATTCCACTAATAAAAGAACAGTACTACCTATACATACCTTAATAACATTATAGTACTCTATATAATTAATGAATTAACATTGACTCCAAAGACTAAAAATTATGAAGGAAAATTATTAAATACATATGAAAAACATCTTCCTCTGATAACAATGTAAATGGCACAGAAATTTTGATAAACTTAATATACAACTTAAAACTCATGTTGTAAATTTCCTAATAACTGTTCTGGTCTGGTTTCTGATACATACTGTAAGTTCCATTATTACCAACGTCTGCATTATTAATTTCTCAACAATAATGAACATGGCAGTCTTTTACGAAGACTAAAGTCTCACCACTGACGATGTCAACCACATGTATGAGTCTAAACTTCTGAATTAATTTCCTGTCTAATTCTGTTCTTTGCACAATAATCCTGCATTGTTTAGTGTTATTTGCAATACAACAAATTCAGTGCAATGTTACACTATGCTGTATGTAAAGTGAATAAGTTACTGCACGCACACACACTTCTGTATAAAATGACACAATAAACTTTTGGGTTAACATTTCTAAGCATTTAGACTCAAAATATCTAGTAATTATCTGCCCCAGCTATGACTAACCCTTCCATAAGCCTGCTGGTACTTGAGCATAATCTGCTGACGCTCAGCTGAGGTTCTGTGAGAAAGGACATTGATGATGGCGGCCTCATCAGTACCAAAGCCCTTCATAGCTTTCCTCAGTAAAGAGGCATCACTGCTCGGGTCAAAGTGTGGTGAAGACTTCACGGTGGGAATCTCCTGTGGAAGAAAAAATAACCGGAGATGACAAACATTACCATATCAAATTTATGCTTATAATTCAAGTAGTGAAAGTAATGCAGTAGCTAGCAGTGCAGTACAGTACAGTACACACATCTGCCAAATGCCTTTATTCAGAATCAAAGTTGGGGCTTCAGTCAGACAGCACACATATATAACCCTTCCATTTACATGATTCATTGAGATCATAAGAGATAGACTGTCATGAGAGCTGGGAAGAGAGAATGAACAAATTAGCTACATACGTATGTACGTGTGTGTGTGTGTGTGTGTGTGTGTGTGCACATAGTAGAATTGAATTGAATTGAAACAGTTTATTTAGCCAGAAAAACACAGATACAGAGTGGATAATAATAACAATATTAACATGGCTGAGCCAGTTGAGAACCTGCACTCTCTTTGAGGCACCTGATATACTATACTATACATTTATCTCAAGGAAGTATTATGTAACAATTAGTATCATCTGGAATAGTACAATACCATGGTAATAATAAGTACATCTCATAATGTTACCACGGTTATCACTTCAATATTTATTTATTTTATTATTTATTATTTGTATTTATTTATTTATATATATTTTTTATTCATACATACATATACACATACCTACCGGCATACATATTATATATATATATATATATATATATATATATATATATATATATATATATATATATATATATATATATATATATATATATATACACACATATACACATATATATATATATATATATATATATACATATACACATATATATATATATACATATATATACACATATATATATACATATACACATATATATATATACACATATACACATATATATATACATATACACATATATATATATACATATATATACACATATATATATACATATACACATATATAAATACATATATAGAGGAGACATGTAACTGAATAAATAGGATGAGAAGGGAGTGAGTGAAGAAGAGGGATGTTATAAGGTGGATGACACAGTTCAAGTACGGTACAGTAAGAGATAAGAGGGAGGGTGGGTGCCAGTTACTATGGGAAGGAAGGAAGGGAGGGAGGGAGGGAGGGAGGGAGGGAATACATTGAACTATGGAATAAGAATGAAAGAGAGCAAATGGGAAAGTGGAAGCAAGTCATGGAAGAGGATGGGAAGGAGGGAAGGAAAGACGTAGCGGGGAAGGGTCACATACCAAGAGAGAATAATGGAAGGTAGGAAGGAGGGAGGGAGAGAAGTGTGGGAGGGAGGGAGAGAAGTGTGGAAGGGATGAAAACAGGGAGGTAATGTGAGGAGGGTTTAGGAGGGAAGATATATATAGCCTCCCATAAGAGTTATGGCCTTGATGTCGGTACCACTTCCCACAGTACCATGGCTCAGTACCACTCCCCACAGTACCATGGCCCAGTACCACTCCCCACAGTACCATGGCCCAGTACCACTCCCCACAGTACCATGGCCCAGTACCACTCCCCACAGTACCATGGCTCAGTACCACTCCCCACAGTACCATGGCTCAGTACCACTCCCCACAGTACCATGGCTCAGTACCACTCCCCACAGTACCACCCTCAAAGCACTATGGCTCAGTATCACCCTACAGTACCACCCCCACAGTACTATGGCTCAGTACCACCCCTACACACACCCCAACAGTACCACCCCTACAGTGCCATAGTCCCCATCCACAAAATAATACAGTATTACCATTAGCAACACTACACAAGAAACATAAGTACAGAATTCAGTCAGTCAGTCAATAATTCAATCAATAATTCAGCCAGTCAGTCAATAATTTAGTCAGTCAGTAAGTCAATAATTCAGTCAGTCAGACAATAATTCAAGCAGTCAGTCAATTCAATCAATCAATAATTCAGTCAACAAAGGCCCTCACAGAACTCCCAAATCCAACTCTCAGTGAAGTCCTCTCTCTTTCCCCCACACTACACACAGTTAGGGCAACACACAGCACATTAAGCTACTTTAATTACTCAGCAGTGTAACAGAGAGGTACTGTGATGTGTGTGTGTGTTACGTGCTGCTACACACTCACAGCAGATGACTGAAGTGGATGAAGTGAGTGTGAAGGGGTGAGTGAGTGAGATAAGAGTAAGATAATGAGAGAGAGAGAGAGAGAGAGAGAGAGATAAATATAAGTACAGTGTGGAGCGACAGGCTGAACAGGACACGAAACAACGATAACTATCAAAATAGACCCCAAAAAATCCAGCGTCACTTAAGAAAAACCATCCCAGTTTCTGTTTTCATATTAATAAAACCGTAAAAAAAAACCGATTATTACTCCTACTTGGGGTTATATTTTCAACACAAAATAATAACTTTAACTATGATGTTAACGAATGATTTACAGGGGTATTTAACACCTGCTACATATCACTCATGCTTGCCTAATTCGCGAAGCCTGAGGTTTTGGCAACGATGCAAGTAGATACAACACACGATTAGATAAAACACTAAAGTTACTTGTAAATATCTTTGTGTGTGCGAGTTCCCTAAATATTTGCCAGATCAGGAAAAACTTTAGGCCATATACTGTCAACCAGGCCTTCATACTGTCAATTAGGCCCTAATACTGTCAATCAGGCTCTAATTCTGCCAACCAGGCCCTCGTACTGTCAACCAGGCCCTCGTACTGTCAACCAGGCCCTCGTACTGTCAATTAGGCCCTAATACTGTCAATCAGGTCCTCATACTGTCAACCAGGCTCTCATACTACCAATAAGGCTCCGTCATAGTGAACAAGAGTGTGAGTATACAAGTCACTAACCTTTGCAAATGTCACTTCTATCACAGTGTAAAAGTCACTTCTCATACTAAAATGTTTTATTTGTAGGTCAGAACAAGGACCCAGCCAGACCAAGGTATATATCGACTCGTTTCTCAGCGTAAGGAGACTGCATTTTGGTGGCGATTTGTTTACACCAATTCGTGTCGTTAAAAAATTATTAAATAAAGGTTGAGAAATAGTATACTGTGTCTTTAGTCTATATGAATATTATTAATAGAATTTAGAAACCTGTTAGATAGTACACTCACTAAAAAAAATATTCTTCACCCTTGGCTCTGAAACCATCCGCAACGATCAGTGACAGAAGCCGTGATGAGTGTTACCAGATTTCTTGGTCCAGTGTGTCATACTGTATAACCCCGTAAAGGTGTTGAATAATCTTTAAGTAGGTGTACACACACGTATTGGTTCTTCTGTAACACCTAGCGAAGCCTTAAGTTCATCTGCAACACCTAACGAAGCCTTATTAAGTTTTTCTGTAACACCTAACGAAGCCTTAAGTTCATCTGTAACATCTAACGAACCTTTATTAACTTATCTTTCCACCAATGACAATCTAAAAACAAAGAGGTACATGCCATTTTTTGACCATGGTAACCAAGTAGAGGGTAATGATTCCAAGTCGACCGGATGCCGGCTGTATACACCTCAAGGAAACATGACACTGCTACAAAATTGCTTCAGTAGTCATCTTTATTTATCATTTCACCACTGGATCAACTTACTAGCCATTTGGGCGCTTGGTCTATCCTGTGTGGTACAATGAGCTTCAACAAGCAAAGTCTGTAAGTGTGTGTGTATGTATGTATGTATGTATGTATGTATATATATGTATATATATATATGTATGTATGTATGTATGTATGTATGTATGTATGTATGTATGTATATATATATATATATATATATATATATATATATATATATATATATATATATATATATATATATCACAGTAAATAGTTACTCATTTGATAATTAATGCAATATAGATATTATTTAACGAATATATGAACAATGTATCGTAATTATGTAGGGTAATTATGTAAGCTATCAATACATTTGTTTACAGCTAACAAACTTTGCTTAGCGTTTGATTCCTGAAGGTTTAAATCATCGTCGACATAGGTTTAAATCATCGTCGACATAGGTTTAAATCATCGTCGACATAGGTTTAAATCATCGTCGTCAAAGGGTTAACGTGAACTAAACGCCGAAAATGACGAAAATTTCACTGTAAGACCACTAGACTTGGTATTTTGGCATCTCTGGCGTTCCAGTACTGCTTACGACAATACCAGTCAACCAATGTGAAGTGTTTCTTGGAAAATGACGTCAAAACCAGCACCCTCATACAGCCAACCCGCATGCTACAGTATAATCACCCCCCTCCCCCAAGGCCGCTCCACCACCTCATGACCTAACGCAGCAAAAATGAAACCAAACTTTCTTTTCCAATAACCTTCTGTTTATCTTCAAGTGCCGGCCTTTTCTAAATATGACCTCCACACAACTTGCACCGCTGTTATATAGAATCTATATCAATTTAATAAATACGATGACTAACTCGAGAAATCCACCGTCACTAGCCGCAGCAACACACCCACCCCAACCATCAACGTGCAGAGAATTTCACCTGACAAGCCATCTAAACTTAACATATCCTTCTCGTGTGTCCGTCACAGACAGCAGTCAACCGTGTACGAATCTCAACACTTCACCAACACTGTCAACTAGTCACACACCATACGATAAAGTTAAATAATTCTCACTCACAGTGTAATCCATGGCAACTCTGGTCTCTCCTCCGTGCTAGTGTCAGACTGACTCGCCAGCCCTGCCTCCGGCGATGTTTATTTCTTGCCGAGCCAAGTTGCCAGTTGTGTAACCTACACATGACAGCGAACTAACCCACATGAAATCCTAACACGTTGGCATATACTGTCTACATGTTTCCCTTATAAAACAGTTTTTAATTCTTTCTTTTATTTATTCCTGCAAAAAATCATAAATAGAAAACTAACCAAGATACAAAACTACACGATAACGTTAACCAACTTCTACACCGCCCATTATATAACGTTACAACACCTACCAAAAAAATCATCTACATTTATCCCTCATTTAACAATTAAGCAAAACTATTATAAAAAATCAATCAAACT